GAGACCAAGTTTCTCTCTTCTTGCCCAGGCTGGAGTGCAGTGGTACGATCTCAGCTCACTGCAACCTCCGCCTTCCGGTTTCAAGCAATTCTCCTGCCTCAGCCTCCCGAGTAGCTGGTACTACAGGCACGTGCCACCACACCCAGCTACTTTTTTGTATTTTTAGTAGAGACAGGGTTTCACCATGTTGGCCAGGATGGTCTCGATCTCTTGACCTCGTGATCCACCCACCTCGGCCTCCCAAAGTGCTGGGATTACAGGCATGAGCCACCGCACCCGGCCTCCAGTGGGGTTTGATATATTTCATAGGAAACATTTCTTTGGGAAAACTCCAAATCTATGAGGGCTTAGGTGAAAGGAATAAAGATTGTTTCCCTGCCCTTCTAGTATGGACATGGAGAGGCGGCATGATTGTCACCCTGAACTAAAGCACAGGCTGAGAGTTTGAGTGAAGATTTCTGGAACGATGACAAAGGGGAGGGGAGGGAGGGATCCCTCTGCTAGGTGTGCCATTACGAGTGGTATCAGTCAGTCAGCACCAGTGAGCTTTGAGGGAGCCTGTTCTCAGTTAAGGGGCACAGATGCCACTAGAACCAGGTCCCCAAACTGTGGATCATGCTCTGTCACTCTGTGAGCTCAGAGACCACTTAAGCCACTCAATGATCAGTCAGAAAATGCCCAGGGGGACCCAGAGAGGATTGCAGACAGTGAAGGAGAGACGCCGAGGGCTTCCCTGACCACTATGCGTCAAGTAGCCCCTGCCTCCTCTCCATCGGGAGCCTGAGCTCTGAAGGCAGTCAGATCGTGCTCAAATCTTGACCAGAGTCAGCCTTCCCCACCGATAGCACGGAGGTAATAATATCTATTGTCTGGGTTGTTAGAGGATTAATGGACTCTCCATAAATGTTAGCAATTAGTATTATAAAACATTAATAAAGCATGGCTATTGGGAGAGGTAAGTTCCGGATTTATTTTTCATTTTTGAGACAGGGTCTCGCTCTGTCACCCAGGCTGGAGTACAGTGGCACGATCATGGTTCACTGCAGCGTCAACTTCCCCAGCTCAAACGACCTCCCACCTCAGCCTCCCGAGTAGCTGAGATACAGGTACCCACCACCACATCTGGCTAATTCTTATATTTTTTTTTTTGTAGAGATGGGGTTTTGCCATGTTGCCCAGGCTGGTCTCCAACCTCTGAGCTCAAGCAATCTGCCCTCCTTGGCCTCCAAAGTGCTAGGATTACAGGCATGAGCCACCTCGCCCAGCCAAGTCCTGGATTTCAATTCTGGCTCCATCACTCCAACGCTACAAAGTCTCTGAGACACATTTTCCCCTTCCCTCAGACATTGGGTTATTAGGCTTGAGTGAGTCCAGGCAGCTGTCATCTGCACCTGGTCCTAAATTATCACTCTGCTTTCACTCCTGCCTCTCCATCTCCTTTCTACAAGGCAGCCAGAGGTAACTATTTTATTTTATTTTATTTTATATTTATTTATTTATTTATTTATTTATGTATTTATTTATTTATTTATTTATTTTGAGAGAGTCTCACTCTGTCTCCCAGGCTGGAGTGCAGTGGTACAATCTTGGTTCACTGCAATCTCTGCCTTGCAGGTTCAAGCTGATTCTCCTGCCTCAGCCTCCCGAGTAGCTGGGATTACAGGTGTGCACCACCACACCCAGTACATTTTTGTATTTTTAGTAGAGGTGAGGTTTTAACCATGTTGGCCATGCTGGTCCTGCACTCCTGGCCTCAAGTGATGATCCACCTGCTTTGGCCTTCCAAAGTGCTGGGATTACAGGTGTGAGCCACCACGCCTGTCCTACTGTGTTGTGTTGTGTTGTGTTGTGTTGTGTTGTGTTGTATTGTATTGTATTGTACTGTACCGTATTGTATTGTATTGTATTGTATTGTATTGTATTGTATTGTATTGTATTGTAGTGCATTGGCAGTAGCATATATTATATTAGCATTATTTGTATTGCAATATAAAATTATGATAGGATCTTTCCCATCATACCATGGATGCAGTGGTCATCATATCTCATTTCAGAAACCTTATTGTATTGTATTGTATTGTATTGTATTGTATTGTATTGTATTGTAGACAGGGCGTCCCTCTGTCACCCACACTGGAGTGCAGTGGTGCCATCATAGCTCACTGCAACTTCGAACTCCTGGCCCAAGCAATCCTCCTGCCTCAGCCTCCCCAGTAGCTGGAACTGCAGGTGCATGCCACTCTGAGATAACTTTCTTTTTCTTTTTTTTCTGAGACAGAGTCTCATTCTTGTCACCCAGGCTGGAGTGCAATGCCATGATCTCGGCTCACTGCAACCTCTGCCCCCGGGTTCAAGTGATTCTCCTGCCTCAGCTTCCCCAGTAGCTGGGATTACAGGTGCCCGCCAACATGCCCAGCTAATTTTTGTATTTTTAGTAGACACGGGGTTTCACCATGTTGGCCAGACTGGTCTTGAGCTCCTGAACTTGTGATCTGCCCACCTCGGCCTCCCAAAGTGCTGGGATTACGGGCGTGAGCCATCGCGCCCAGCCCACTCTGAGACCACTTCTGAAACATGTCAGTTCATGACACTTTCTTACTTTAAACCCTCCTATTGTTTTCCATGGCACCTTCCTTACCGCAGCCCATAAGGCCTCACATGAGGAGGCTTCTGCCCACCACGCTGCACTTTCCCCTCTTCACTCTTCTTGGATTTCCTTCATTTTCCAGAACGCACTGGTTATGTCCCACCCAGGGCTTTGTGCCTGGGACCCTCAGCCACCAGCGCCCCCAAAGCCCACTCCTCACCCATAAGGTCTCCCCTCAAATGTGACCGACCCTGCTACTCCCTGCCACACCTGTTGCAGGCCTCTTTCCTGTGCGCTCCCAGCGCCTGCCTTGGTTGAGCTCAGGTGTCTGTGTTCTGTCTGCTGCTGTCCTGGTGGCTCCCCTGCCAGACAGAGCCCCAGCCCCAAGGAGTGGATGAGCAGCGCCTCACAAGGAGTGCATCCTGGATAGGCATCTGGCGGGTGAATGAGTGCCAGCCTGCTTCCAGGCGTGCAGCGGACGGTTCCATTTGTTACTTGATCTTGAACTGTCATGAGTGCAGTGATTCTGGGAGAGGGGGTTTTTGGCTCCTCTCCCAGTTTTTGGGGAATAGGATGGCAGAGAGAAGGCAAGATCTGCTGACCTTCTAAAAAGGACATAGGGATGGGCTCCGGGCAGGCTGGGGACTGGCTTTCTATGAGTCTCAAGGGTTGCTGGGCTTCGATGGGTGGGTGACACATGGAGGGGCATTCCCTGCAGACAGAAGGCAGGTTGCTGCCCTCTATCTCTAAAGAGGTCTTTAGGAGAAGAAAGCGCAACTGGGGTCCCCGCAATAACTGGAAGACTGTGGCTCCAGGACACGGTCATTACCTTCAGGGATGGAAGTGAAGTGATGCTGAGCAGGGAGAAGAGATTCAGTAACATGCCAGCCCTCAGTCACACAGAATAGCTGGAGGGGCAGCCTGGGGGACTCTTAGAACATGCTGGAACAGTGGCACAGCCTTCAGAATTTCAGGAAAGCCTGTAAAGCCCAATCAGGACCCGTGGCCCACTCCATGGTGCTCTGTGTAGCAGGTGCTGCTTTGCTGTGGCTGTTTGCGCATATGTGTGTACATACCTAAAGCCCAGAGGTGTCCAATGTATTTTGTATTGTTACTGCTTTACAGGTTTGAAAGCTGCAGCATCTAGAAAAGATGGGTGTGGTCGGGCTCGGTGGCTCACGCCTGTAATCCCAGCACTTTGGAAGGCCAAGGTGGGCAGATCACTTGAGCTCAGGAGTTCGAGACCAACCTGGGCAACATGGCGAAACCTCGTCTCTACAAAAAATACAAAAAATGTAGCCAAGTGTGGTGGCAGGCACCTGTAGTTCCAGCTACTTGGGAGGCTGAGGTGGGAGGATTACCTGAGCCCAGGGAAGTTGAGGCTATAGTGAGCTGTAATCATGCACTCCAGCCTGAGTGACAGAGGGAAATCCTGTCTAAAAAAAAAAAAGAAAAGAAAAGAAAAGAAAGAAAGAAGGCCGGGCACGGTGGCTCAAGCCTGTAATCCCAGCACTTTGGGAGGCCGAGACAGGCGGATCACGAGGTCAGGAGATCAAGACCATCCTGGCTAACACGGTGAAACCTCTACTAAAAAATACAAAAAACTAGCTGGGCGAGGTGGCGGGCGCCTGTAGTCCCAGCTACTTGGGAGGCTGAGGCAGGAGAATGGTGTGAACCCAGGAGGCGGAGCTTGCAGTGAGCTGAGATCCGGCCACTGCACTCCAGCCTGGGTGACAGAGCAAGACTCTGTCTCAAAAAAAAGAAAGAAAGAAAGAAAGAAAAGATGGGTGGACCCCAACAAGGGTTATCTCACTCAAAGGGCAGGAGGCTGAGACCCAATTCAAGGGACTGCTGGAGGGCTGATGACCTCGGTTTTAGGGGTAACCACGGGCTTTGGTGTCAGGCAGAGCTGGATTCAAACTTACTGGTTTGTCTACAACTTACCAGTTGTATACTCTGGGTAGATACCCAACATCTCTGAGCTTTGTCTCGCCCGAGTAGGAAGTGCTGGTAGCTACCTCACCGACGGCTGTGAGGGTTAGGCAGGGCACCTCCTGGAATGCCAAGCCAAGAGCTGTTTTTGTTTGTTTCGTTTTTGTTTTTTGAGACAGGGTCTTGCTCTCTCACCCAGGTTGGAGTGCAGTGGTGCGATCTTGGCTCACTGCAACCTCCACCTCCTGGGTTCAAGAGATTCTCATGCCTCAGCCACCCGAGTAGCTGGGATTACAGGTGTGTACACCACCCCACCTGGCTAATCCCAGGGGCCCTGTTCTGTCCTCCCCCTCATGCTCTGCCAGCTGAAGACCAATGGCTGCCAGGGATTCCCCACCTGCCACCCCACCCATCTCAGCACCTTCCAGATCCTCCAGGGTGAAGCAGAGAAATAATGAGACATCAGCGTATAGGAAGGAGATCCAGGAGAGGAAAAAGAAACAAGTTTTATTAAAGCCCCAAACACTTGGCTAGAAAAACTGAAAAGGAAAGAGAGCAGGGAGGTGGGAAGAAGAAAAAAGGACATTAAAAAAGAGAGACAGAGAAAACACAGCAACCCTTTTCCATTTAGAAATTGTCAAGTTACACCGACAGAGGTCACAGAATATCCACAGAAGCCATCACTGCTACACCAACATGAGCCCTACAGGGTGGACGGGGCAGGGTGTGGAGCTGGGGCTCACCCCAGGGGACCCCCTGGGGACCCCACTCAGAGCCTCAGGCCTGAGGCTCCTGGGGAAACAGCATATTGTGGAAGGGGCAGGAGAGAAACCCCCCATGCGAGTAACACAGCACAGTGGGCGGGGGCTGAGAGGACCAGGTACAGGGGTCCCCTGAGACATCTTAGTTTTCTCTTGGTCAAGCACACACTGATGGACAGAGCAGCGAGGCGCATGCAGCTGGGGGCACTGACGTGCTGCAGGCTGTGAGAGGGCCAGCGGGGACGGGGGCTTGGGAAGGGAGCCGGAGCCAGTGGTGCAGGGATGATGAACACACACACACAGAGGCACACCCACACACCTGGGTCTGCACCAGCACACACACGTGCACACACACTCGCAGACACAGATCACATGCACCTCCATGTACGTGTCTCTGTCCACATGTACGTGGCCCACACACAAGTCGCTGGCGCTAGGCATGTCTGCACACACATTACACATGTTCTCACACACAGAGCTCCTCTCACGCTAACATGCAGGTAGGCACGTGCCAATGCCCAAACAGGTTACATGCACCTATGTGCCCACGCCTTCCGCCACACACGTGCTCGGCCATTCCTGTGGGTGCAGGCCCCATGCGTCTGCACACATGGTGCATGGGCTCACGCCAGCACACACACAGGCTGCACGCGATTCCACACGGATGCCTCCCAGCCCATAAACGTGCAGGAACCAAAGGGAAAGAAAGATGCAAACCCTACTGGACTTCACCCGAGCGGGTGGGGCGGGGCACATGGCTCCCTCCTTCTGCCCCTTCGTGGATGGACACTGTCCCCCCCACATCCCCCACAAAGGGACATTCAACTCAGGACAATGACGGTGGGGCACACATTCCAGTCACAGGGCTGAGGGTGGGAGCTGGGGGCAAGCGAAGTAGCAAGCAGAGAGTAATGGAGTGGAGGGAGGAGGGGGCACCACTCCCCCCTCCCCTCCCAAGTCAGGGGGTCTCTGTACAGCCAAATCAAACCAGACCGTTTCACTGGGACCACAGAAGCCAGGCCGACGCGCCCGCCCCCAGCCCCCTCCCCCGCCAAAACAGTGGCCAGGGAGAGAGTGCCGTGGTTTTCTTTTTTTTTTCTTTTTTAAATATTTATATATATTTATATTACGTATATTATATATAATATGTAAATATATTTTTAAAACAATATAAAATGTTAAGACACTTCACTTAAATGTAAAGAGTTGCCTGCAATTAAAAGTAATTGCATCATTTATGAGGTCCTTTTTTTTTTTTCTATTTTCCAGGGTTTTTTTTTTTTTTCAGGAGGGTTTTTTTTTTTCCTCTTTTGTTATTTTTCAAAAAGGCTTGCTCGCCTTGGTACAAAAATGATCCAAAGCTAGAAAACAAGGATGAACCAACAAAGGCAAAAACGAAAAAAGAAATGAAGAAACACAACCCCAGTTTCCCCTCCCCCCAAACCTTCAACAGCTCCTGGCTCTCCCCAAGTGCGGCCTTTCCCCAGCCAGGCCCCAGGGGTTGGGGGGCTCTGCCTCTTGCGCAACTCCTCCTTTCTGTGCTTGCTGGGGGGACTGATTCGAGTCCCCCTCCCCTGTGCTTGCTTCACTTTGTGCTCCAAGTGGGACGCCTGCTGCCGGGGACCCTACTCCTCCTCCTCCTCTTCTCCCATCCTCTCCCTACTGGCTCCTCACTGTGCCCTCTGGGCGGCCAGGAGTGAGAACCAAAATTGGCCTCTCTCTGCCTCCCCAGGACCCGGCCAAAAGCAAGGTGGCACTGCCAACTGCCTCTGCAGGGCAGGCAGGGCGTCCACAGGCCAGGGGCGCTGGCTGGACGGTCAGGCCTCAGGGACCTTCAGACATCTCACCAGGGTCACCAGAGCCCCATGGAAAAACTACATCTCATCCTTTCCCGGAAAACCCTCAAATCGCCAAGAGGATGACTGAAGGTCAAGTCACCCCACCTCGGGGTCCCAGGTGTCTTCACTGCTCCCCATCAAACCCCTCTCGACCCTCCCATTTCCCTCAAACCAGACCCTTCCCCCAACTGCAGGCCACAAAACCTGGTTTTCTAGGCCCCTCATTCTTGCCCACCCCACCCCCATTAAATAAGTTAATGCCATTTAAAGTGCTAAATCAGGAAACTAAAAGTACCAAATACCTGTCCGGGCCGCCCTCTCCCAAGGCAGTGTCCCCGATGTCCGGCTGTCCGTGCAACCCACCCTCCACAGCCAGCAGACCAAAGGGCCTCTGTCCTCCACTCCCCACAGGACGGCGAGGCCCAGGAGGCCAGCGCCTCCCCAGGGACGCAGACTCCATGGTCTCACACCCACCCTGAGGCCTCTCAAGCTCCGGCCTAGTCTCCAGCCTGTCCGTCTCTACTCCAGGCCCAGTGGGGTGTGAGTGGGAGGAGGCAGAGCAGCCACAGAGGAGGTCGCAGTCTTGTCCGAGCTTGGACAGGGAGTGGGGCGTCTCCAAGGCCAGTCTCCCTGCACCCCGCTCTCCGGCCTGGTATATGGGTTGGTCCGATGTCCCCGCGTTCCTCCAGGAAAGTACCGAGAAACGGGAGAGGGGTCTCCCACTGCTCCAAGTCTCCGTGGCTCAGAGTTTGTTTGGAGTATTCTTGGGAAGTGAGGGGAAGGCGGGAAGGGGGTGCAGGAGCTTCAGGATGGACTGAGGGGAAAGAGTGGTGAAAGAGAAGAGGGAGAGACGTGACAGGTGCGGCCAGTGAGAGGCCAGCTGAGAACAGACAAAGGAAGGTGGTGTGTTTGGTTTTTAGTTTTACTGTTTAAAAAAAAGATAATTAAAAGTGAATCATTAAAAAAAAAACCAAAAACACCAACAGAGGATGGGTAGAGGGAGCTGAGGAGGGCCACACCCTCCTCTGCAGGGCGCACCCCTCAGGGGGTCTGGAGAGTAGGGTGGGGTGGAGATGAAGGGAAGAGAGGGGAGAAATGGCAGGAGTAAGGGAGGGGGACAGGCAGGGCAGCGGGGTGAGGGGCTTCTAGAAGGAGATGGAAGAATTCCTTGCCCCAAAGGAAGTCAATACAGGGATAGAGGTTCTGGAAGCCGAGGGCTTTTCTGAGACTGGGCTCGAGGTCTCATTCGACCCGCTCATCTCTTTAGATGGTTTAGTGGCCTGGAACAAAAACAGGGGTCAGGGGTCAGAGAGCAGAAGGGAGCGCCTCCATGCTGGCCCCCAGCTGAAGTTTTAAAAGTGGAAAATCTCCACAAATCCAAGGAAATTAACTGCAAAAGGAAGAAGCCAGAGGGGCATCTGGAGAGAGAGGTCCCTTGAATGGGGAGGGGCGGGGGCAGAAAAGGCGGGGAGGGGGCACGAGGTTGGACAACGGGCCTAGGTGGTCAGAGCAGAAGGGCAGGCCCACAGTTACTGAGAGCAGAGAGAGAAGCAGAGAGTGACCAGAGAAGCACAGGAGAGGCCGCGCCCAGGACGGGCAGACGGGGAGGTGGGGATGGGGAAGGGGAGGGGAGGGGAGGAAGAAGAAGTGAAACGTTAGCTGGGACAGGGGCACATGCCCTGCGGGGGAGCGGGGGCAGGGTGGGGAAAGGCTCCTAGTCCCAACTGGCCTGTCATACAGTCAGAGCCCCTTCCAGCCTCATCCTGGTGGCAACAGAGGAGGGGGCTTATCCTCCCAGTGGGGAATAAACACTTCAAGCACGCCCACCTCTACCACCACCACCTGGAAATCTGGGAAGAAGGTGCTACCGCACCAGGCTCCCGCTCAGTGCAGGAAGCCCCACTGCGCACCCTGCAAGCGCTTGTCGCCCCAGTTGGTAACAGGAGGCTACTTCCTCATGACTCGTCCTGCCCTCACTCGTCAGTTCTAGTGGTCAGAACTGACCCCTCATCCTCCTTCCACCTCTGGTGGAGTCCCGTGTCTCCACCGGTCCTGGAGGCTTGTCCTCTGGAGCTGCGGTCTCCAAAGTGCAGTTTGAGAGCTACATGCATTACCTCATCACTTCCAGGGGACACCTTGTGGCATGCGTCATGAATGCAGATTCCTGGGCTCCCCTCCAGAATCCATCTCTTGTGTGGGCTCATGCATGTGCATTTTAAGCAGGCGCCCCAGGTGCCTCTGCTGCACACTTACCTTTGAGATCCACTGGGTTAAGGCTACACAGACCCGGGTTTCTCTCTGAAATTGTAATCACTGTCCCTCCTGGCCTTGCTTAGCTACTAGTGTGAGAACTGAATCACCCAGATTTTAAAAAGATCCAAAAGATAAGACAGGGTGCTGTGGCGAGTCACCAGAGACCACCCTGAGGTTAGGTCTGGGCAGGGTCGTTCACTTCCCTGTACTATCACCCTGCTGCTAGGGGATTTTCTCAGATGCCTTGCAGCGGAGAAACTGGAGAAGCTAGAGTCTAAAGCAAGCCCTGTCTCCAGCAGCCTGCCTGGCTCACAGTGAAGAACCAACACTGGCTGCAATCACCATTTCTCCTTTACAGGTGCACAGATGGTTGGTTCTGCGATACACCTGGGTTTTGCTCACCACAGTGTAGTCTGTCATCTACATTTCCCTTTTATGAGAATCAAAACCAGGGCCAGGTGTGGTGGCTCACACCTGTAATCCCAGCACTTTAGGTGGCTGAGGCAGGAGGATTGTTTGAGCCCAGGAAGTCAAGACCAGCCTGGGCAACATGGCGAGACCTCATCTCTACTAAAAATAAAAATAAAATTTTAATAGCTGAGTGTGATGTTGTGTGCCAGTGGAGGCTGAGGTGGGAGGATGGCCTGAGCCCAGGAGGTGGAAGTGGCAGTGAGCCGTGATTGCACCACTGCATTCCAGCCTGGGTGACAGAATGAGGTCCTGTTTTTTTTTTTTTTTTGGTTTTGTTATTTATTTATTTATTTAAAGTGGAAGTTCCCCATTTGAGTTTTCTTTTTCTTTTCTTCCTTGCTTTTTTTTTTTTTTTTTGGAGACGGATTTTTGCTCTTGTTGCCCAGGCGGGAATGCAATGGTGCGATCTTGGCTCATAGCAACTTCTGCCTCCCGGGTTCAAGTGATTCTCCTGCCTCAGCCTCCCAAGTAGCTGAAATTACAGGTATGTGCCATCACGCCTGGCTAATTTTGTATTTTTAGTAAGATAAGGTTTCTCCATGTTGGTCAGTCTGGTTTCGAACTCCCGACCTTAGGTGATCCGCCCACCTAGGCCTCCCAAAGGGTTGGGACTACAGGCATGAGCCACCACGCCCGGCCTTGTTTGGGTTTTCTAACCCCTCTCCTCTGCTCATCCATTACTCAAGGGAGTTCTAGGGGGTCCAGGGAGGGCCCAGCCACAGGGTCGTCAGACTCACGCAGTCCTCAGCATGTGTCAGGCATAGCCCCTGCTCTCTCTGTGCCCCCAGTACCTGGGCCTGGAGACAAATTCATCTAAAGGGAACCAGAGGCTCTCTGACCATTGTGTCACTTACCTTGGGCTCAGTCCTGCCTCTCCTCTGCTCTAGCCTTTCCCATTTAAAGTTCTTTCCCCCAAAGCCAGATGGGAGAGGAGCACTGTCCAGTTTCCCCTGATATCGCTTCACACCTCACTATGTCCCCCGGCAAGGTGCTGATTCTCCCCGGCTGTCCTTTTCCCTCTGAACTGATCTTCTAGGTAAAAGCTGCTTTTTCTGCTCCTGTCCCTTCAACATTTTTCAAGAGCCTCGTTGTATTTCAAGCTTTGGTCTTTGGAACACTTGTCTTCCGGCACCACCACCTGGCTCCTATATTCAGGCAGGTGACGTGCCCTCACCTGGTCGAGGTCCCTCTTCTCCCCACAACAGCCAGTACAAGACCTTTAGACATCCAGCTTCACCAGTTTACGGGGATGCCTCATCCCTGTCCCACTTCTTCATGGAGACCACTTCTGCAAGCATGTGCTTTCTAAAATGCTCTCGGGCCATCTTCCCTCCCAGGAGACTCTGGCCACACCATCCACAATCCACTCTCCTGAAGTTGAGGGAGCACATCCAGCTGTGCCTGGTGACCCCAGCCTGTGCCGCTAACCCTTCTCAGGTGACACAGCTGCTATCTCTGAAGATTCCTGTCATTTCCTTTCACCCATCATCCTCCCCTGCTGGTTCCAATTATGTCCAGAGAAGCAGAACTTTGTCACCTTTGTGGCAAGGCAGAAACCTCACACATGTCCAGTTTTCAGCTGGGGGAGGCATGGAGCACTGAGCTGGTCCCAGAGGGCAGCACCCTGCACACCTCCCTCTTGCCTGGGGATCAGAGCCGGCCGCCTGCTCTCGCTGGGTCCATGCTCCCCAGGCCCTTCACACTCAGACGCCCAGATGTCAAGACAAGTGTGGAACCTCTTGACTCTACAGACCTCGCTGGCTCCACCTCCACGGCCATTCCCAGGGCCACCCTCCCTAGCCCCCACGCCCTCCTTCCTTGCTAAGCCCTGCGTGGATCAGGAGAAGCTGGGCTTTCCCCAGCCCAAAGTGGGGGGTGTGGGGATCATGACAAAATCTATGGCAACTGGAGAAATTCCTTTCTCCTTGCCAGTGACTGATTTAGGAATGGGCAGTGAGATAAGAGGTGTGGTCTGTTGGGGGCTTCTGGGAAAGATTCTCCGGCTTCTAAAAACAGCTGTGTGAGGCCGGACTCAGGCCTATAATCCCAGCACTTTGGGAGGCCTAGGCGGGTAGATCACTTGACGTCAGGAGTTTGAGACCAGCCTGGCCAACACAGTGAAACCCCAACTCTACCAAAAAATACGAAAATTAACCAGGCATGGTGGCACACGCCTTTAGTCCCAGCTACTTGGGAGGCTGAGGCAGGAGGATGGCTTGAACCACAGAAGTGGACGTTGCAGTGAGTCGAGATCACATCACTGCACTCCAGCCTGGGCGACAGCCTGGGCGACTCTATCTCAAAAAAAAATTTTTAAATAAATAAATAAATAAATAAATAAATAAAAACAGCTGTGTGAAGCTGGGCATGGTGGCTCATGCCTATAATCCCAGCACTTTGGGAAGCTTAGGTGGGTGGACCACCTGCAGTCAGGAGTTTGAGACCAGCCTGGGCAATGTGACGAAACCCCATCTGTACCAAAAATACACAAAATTAGTGAGGCGTGGTGGTGCCACCTGCCGTCCAGCTACTTGGAAGGCTGAGACGGGAGGATCGGTTGAGCCTGGGGAGGTCAAGGCTGCAGTGAGCAGAGATCATGTCACTGCATTCCAGCCTGGGTGACAGAGTAACTGTCTCAAAAAAAATAATAATAAAATAAGGCCAGGCACGGTGGTTCACGCCTGTAATCCCAGCACTTTGGGAAGCTGAGGCGCATGGATCACAAGGTCGGGAGTTCAAGATCAGCCTGGCCAACATGGTGAAACCCCATCTTTACTGAAAATACAAAAATTAGCCGGGTGCAATGGTAGGCACCAGTAATCCCAGCTACTTGGGAGACTGAGGCAGGAGAACTGCTTGAACCCAGGAGGCGGAGGTTGCAGTGAGCTGAAATCGTGCTACTGCACTCCAGCCTGCGTGACAGAGTGAGACTCCGTCTCGAAAAAATATATTATAATAATAATAATAATAATAAAATAGGCCAGGTGTGGTGGCTCACACCTGTAATCCCAGCACTTTGGGAGGCTGAGGCGGGCAAATCACAAGGTCAGGAGTTCGAGAACAGCCTGACCAACATGGTGAAACCCTGTCTCTACTAAAAATACAAAAATTAGCCAGGCATGGTGGTGGGCACCTGTAATCCCAGCTACTTGGGAGGCTGAGGCAGGAGAATTGCTTGAATCCAGGAGGCAGAGGTTGCAGTGGGCCAAGGTTGCGCCATTGCACTGCAGCCTGGGTGACAGAGTAAGACTCTGTCTCAAAAAAATAAAATAAAATAAAATAATAACAATAATAATAATAATAATAGAATAATAAAAATGACAACGGGACCAAATGCAAAGAAACTTGGGTCCTGATATCCTCAAGCTGCTGAATTCACCAACCCTGGAATCTCCCTGCTTCCAGCCTTCTTGGTTACAGAGTACCTTTCTTTATTGTTTAAGCCATTTTGAATCAGGGTTCCTGTTCCTTGCAGCTGAAAGCATTCTCACTGACACACGTGAAGCCCAGAGTTGCTTTATTGCTCTATTCAACCTTTGTTTTTTGTTAACGTATCACCTTCTAGAATTCTCGTCACAAGCGCGATCTCATCAAGGCTTGCTCACACCCATGAGGTTATGCTCCCTGGCAGGGCAACAGAATCCAGTACTAAGACAACAGAATTTGTAGCAGGTCGACTTGGGTTTAAGTCCCAGCTCTGCCACTTTTTAACTGTGTGACCTTAATTCCATATCTCTCTGGGCCCTCATGTCCTCACCTGCAAACGGATAACAGACCTCACAGCACCAGATGCACACCACGAGATGATGCCAACTGGGCGTAAGACCAAGCACCCAACACTCTCAGTAAACATGCAACAAATGGTAACCATTATAGCCATTGCCATTTTAACCTTTCAGATTTGCTTTGTCTGTTTCCATCTGCATTGGGCCTGATCAGTGGCAAACTCATTCGCTCATTCACTCAACAAATATTTACTGAGTGCCTACGTATGCCAAGCACTATTCTAGGTGCTGCGGGCATGCAGCCGTGACAACACAGATTTACCTTAAGGTATAAAAGTTGTAAACTTGGTACCTAACAGGTATGCTATCTGTCTTTCACTTGCCTCTCCATGCCCCAGAACCAATTATGGGGGGGCTCAGTATGTTGCCCAGGCTGGTCTCAAACTCCTGGCCTCAAGTGATCCTCCTGTCTTAGCCTCCCAAAGTGTTGGGGGGTAGAGTTCCTTCCCTTCTCTCTCCCTCCTGGGAGCTGTGTCACAGGCAGCAGCTGTGCCCTCCACAGCACAGCTCTGCTACTCCCGCCCTCTGGGACTCGCTAAACACCTGCCCCACTGCCCTTCCCCCAGGAAGTCACAGCCTCCTGCTCTGAGATGTCCATTGGTACCTTGGCATCCCTTGTTTTCTCCCTGAATCCTCTGCTGTGGTCCTTTCATTAAAGTCTCTTCATTTGGGGCTGGGAGTGGTGGCTCACGCCTGTAATCCCAGCACTTTGGGAGGTGGACCCCTTGAGGTCAGGAGTTCGAGACCAGCCTGGCCAACATGGTGAAACTCCACCTCTACCAAAAACACAAAAATTAGCTGGGCGTGGTGACACACACTGGTAATCCCAGCTACTCAGGAGGCTGAAGCAGGAGAATCACTTGAACCCGGGAGATGGGGGTTGCTGCGAGCCGAGATCACGCCACTGGACTCCAGCCTGGGCAACAGAGCGAGACTCCATCTCAAAAACAAAAAAAAAGAGCCTCTTCATTTGAGCCATCTGAGAAGATAAGCAGGTGTTCAGCAGATTTCTTAGCCCTAATAGAAGAGGGGGTGTCCATAGCTTCAGGTCTACACCAATCCCTTGATCCTTGCATGCCTGGGAACCTGGCTCCTGTTCCTCCCTGGGATCCTAAGCACAACATTCACGGGCTTCTCCTCAGTCACTTCCTCTGACTACTCTGTGGGGTCATACACTGCTGCAATGCACCTCCATCTTAGAATTTTCTTACTCCCAATTTCTGTGTCCCTGATCCCGGCACTTCTAGTCTGCTCTACCTCAACATTGTCAAAGACAGCTTAGACTCACGGGATGAGGGAAAGGCCTTGGGCACTGCCCCTCTCCCTCCCCCCGCCCACCGCCGTAAAGCTCACTGTGGTTTTCTAAGCTCTCACCTGTACCTGGCATTATGTGAGCTCAGGACCAGGCTGGGTACTTCTGTCCCCATTGTACAGGCGAAAGAAGGGCCTGAGAGGACAGAGGGCTTTGACCAAGCCCACAGGCTGAGCTGGTGTGAAGCATGTCCCGCCAGTGACCCGCGTGGCTGGAGCACACCGAGGGTGTGGGGTGGAGGGGCAGGGTGAGCTGAGGCTGCTGTGAAGGGCCCTGGGTCGTACACGAAGGATTTGGTTTTATCATCCACCAGGGGCCGGGGCAGGGATTTTAAGCTGGAAGGGGTGTGTGTGTGTGTGTATGTGTGAGAGACACACACAGAGACAATCAAATCTGCATTTTACAAAGTTCCCTCCCCACTCCCAGGTCTTGGGAAATCAGTTACAGGTGACAGAAGTCGCGAGGAGCTCTCAGAAGACCATGCATGTTGGTGATGAGACAGCGATGGTTTTCCCCTGGTTCTCTACACTTCACTGTTGAAAATTTCCATGGGGAGGCCGGGCGCGGCGGCTCACGTCTGTAATCCCAGCAGTTTGGGAGGCTGAGGCGGGCGGATCACGAGGTCAGGAATCTGAGACCAGCCTGGCCAACACAGTGAAACCCCATCTCTACTAAAAATACAAAAATTTAGCTGGGCGTGGTGGTGGGTGCCTGTAATCCCAGCTACTCGGGAGACTGAGACAGGAGAATCGCTTGAACCCAGGAGGCAGAGGTTGCAGTGAGCCGAGATAGCGCCATTGCACTCCAGCCTGGGTGACAGTGCGAGACTCTGTCTCAAAAAAATAAATAAAATAAAATAAAATAAAATAAAATAAAATTTCCACCAGGAAACATGTATTACTTTACCAGAAAGAAGCCATGTTTGTAAGAAAGGCTACTGGAGCACTGGAAGTGAGACAGGGGCACAAAGGGGCTTGGGAAGGCTGGGTGTGGGTGACCCTTCCTGAGGGGGACAGCAGCTGGAGCAGCCTAGTACAGGCTGGGGTGGTAGGATCGGGGGAGCATTGTGTCTGGATGCACACTTGCGAGGAGCCTGGGGACGCCCAGGGAAGCGTGTGTGGGTGACTGGAGCTCGGAATGGAGATGTGGGTGGGGGCAGGGACTAAGCAGTGCCTGGTGCCTGAGGAGAGGAAGGCATGGTGTGAGAAGAGGCTGAGGAGTGGAGCACAGGAAAGGGAAGAGGCAGGCAAAGGAGAATCACCCAGGCAGGGTGCAATGGCTCACGCCTATAATCCCAGCACTTTTGAGGATCACCTGAGCTCAGGAGTTTGAGACCAGCCTGGCCAACATGGTGAAACTCCGTCTGTACTAAAAATACAAAAATTAGCTAGTATGGTTAGGTAGCCTGTAGTCCCAGCTGCTTGGGAGGCTGAGGCACAAGAATCACTTGAACCCAGGAGGCGGAGGCTGCAGTGAGCAGAGATCGCACCATTGGACTCCAGCCTGGGTGACAGAGCAAGACTCCATCTCAAAAACGAGAGAGTTGCCCAGAAAGGAGCCCGGAGGCTCAGGGTGGAGGCTGGAGAGAGGATTCTGTGGAACAGAGGGTCTGCACAGCCCTATGCAGGTGTGGGGGGTCTACAAGGCCACATGCTACAGAGCAGTGGGGGAGCGGGGTGGAAAGAGCCCATCTGGACACCACTGGAGACCCAGGCAAGCCCGGAGATGGGGTGGAGGCTGGGCCATAAAGGCATGAGGCTGACACCACAGCCGAGGAGCTGGGCTCTGGGGAGCGAGGAACTAGGGTGGGAAACAGTGGAGCATAATTAGAGCCAAGGGAGGGGCCTGCTGGAGAGGCTGAAGCACTTTGTGGTGGGGAGGGAGGCAGTCTGGACTTGTGTCCTGCCCCCCACTTGCCAGCCATGTGGCCTTGGGTTAAGCCTCAGTTTCCCCACCTACCATAGGGGGGTAAAAGACCTTCCTCAGTGTGGTGAGTGTGAGATGAGATAATGTGTGTGCCTGGCCCCAGTGAAAGCTCTGTCAATGTCAGCTGCTCTGCTGGGCACCCAGGAGGGTCCAGCCTGGACAGGACGAGGGGAACTCATCCCTGGCAGTGGCAGGAAAAAGAACAGGAAGTGAGGCTCACAGAATGTCTGGGAGCCATGAGGAGGCAGCTGGGGAGCTGTGGATAGGCTGCAAGGGGCCGGAGGGATGCTTTTTGAGAGATTCTCCTGGGAGCCAGTAGGGAGGCAGGGCCTTGGGTGCCCAGGGCCTGGGTCCCTCGATCCCAATCCTGGCTGTGATGCCACCTTGCTGTGCACCTTTGGGAGGCCCCTCTCCTTGTCTGAGCTGTCCCCTCATCTGAAAAAGAGATGGACTCACCCACCTCTAACCTCTTGCCTCTGAGTCTAGAACCTTCTCTAACATCTTGCCTCTGAGTCTAGAACCTTCTTTAAGTGAGAGCATCTGGACACATAACAGCCCCCACCCTCACACCCAGAACGGGCCTGTCATACGGGAGCTGCTCATAAATATTCACTGAATCAAACGAGCACACTAAGGGTCTCTCACAATATCTAGGTCCAGGAGCCACCCTGCAGCCTCTGACCAGGCCACATGGGCAATAAACACCCACGGGTGAGGTGTGTCCACGCTCCACACAGCCCCCACGCCTGCTCATTAGATCTGAAAGAGATTGCGGCACCCCTGCAATTCCTGCTGCAGCCCTACCCTTTCCGAGGGCCAAAGTGCCTCGCCCTGTCCCCACCCCACCTTGCAAAGACAGGAGGTGACCCCACTGAAACCCAAACACAAGGCTGAAAAGCAGATGCAAAGTTGTCTTCTCCCTTGGTTAGGGGTGGCCTAAGAACTAAGAGGGAGGCTGAGGTGAGAGCGGGGCTCTGAATAGCAGGTGGAGCCCTGGGAAGAGGGAGAGGAAAGTGGAGAGAGAAACAGAATGGCTGGAAGCAGAGGGCTGCAAAATCCCCCTTCTGCACCCCAGGGTAGGCCAGGGACCCAGACGTTGGGGCTGCTGGAGTCACAAACCCGCTCCCTCGCCCCTCCTCTAGGAGCCAGCGGTGGCAGCTGGAGACGAGATTTCTCTGTCTGAGTGAGGGAACTCCTGAGAAGGGAGGTGCCTGGTTGAGAACTCATGTGCTAACCCAGATCCAAAGCTCCGGGATCGGGAGGAGGAGGGAGAAGATGGCTCAGGGGGTGGGTGGGGCAGTCCTGGCAGGGAAGTCTGTCTGGGCAGAGGTTGGGAAAGCTGGTCACGGGAGCAGGGGCAGGAGATGCCCAGCTGGGCAGGGGCGCGGCATGCAGCAGAGCGGGCCTGGGTGGCCCCCACGGTCCCTGCCCTCACCTGCTGCTGGGCCTGGATCCGCATGTACTCGGCCCTCTGCTTGCCATGTTTGCTTTTGTCGGGGCTGCCCACTTGGCCCTGGGCCGCCTTCAGCCGAGAGGCCCCCGGAGTCACCACCTTCATGGGCGGTACGCTGCCTCCGCCACTCTGCAAGAAGAAGAACAGGGTTGCAGTTGCCGGGTGCACGTGGGGTGAATCACACAGGAACCCTAGCACTGGGTGGGGTTTCGGGGCTAGGACCTCCCCAGTGGGACCTTTTGAGACCTGGAGACCCCTCTCTGGCTCCACATCCCAGTCCAGAACCCAGGTCTACTCTCTGAGTCCCCATTGGTGGTCTCCCTGCAGGAGAGGGATGGGGCCCCAGCCAGGTGCCCAACAGCTCTTGAGGGAGAGCTCTTCAGTGGCTTCCCTGAGTAGCCCAGAGGCAGCTGATGCCCTCCTTGGGGAGCCTCTGCTAAAGTGAGGGTCCCCAGCAGCAATCCCACTCCTGGCAAGGGGCACCATCTGGACCTGGGTGCACATGCCGGCGAGGGGCTCTCTATAATGGCACACAGAGCAGACAGGCAGCCCCAGGCCCACATTCTCCTCCTAAGGGGAGGATAGAGGTGAGGTCTCTCTAGGGATGGGCAAGCTTGGCTCCCATGAACCTCCCCAAGTACCAGGCCTGCCCACGGGGCACTGGGGATCCAGAGGCGCAAGCAGAAAGATGACAGAGACAGAGAGTCAGAGACAGGAGGGGGAAGGGAGCGTGGAGAGGGAAGGTGGGGAGAGAACTTTATTTGTTGGTTTACAGATACGGAGCAGAAGGGGAGAGGCCCTGGTTCTTGCCAAGGCTGGGGATTGGCCGACCCCTGGGTAGGCCGGCTTCCCAGCCTCCCTCGGACTCTGCCTGCAAACCCTGCTCTGACACCAGGCTTCCAGGAGGTGATAAGAGCTGAGAGAAGGCTGGTGGGAGGAGGGGGCTGGCCTGGCATTCCTGCTGCCCCCTACTCCGTCCAACTCTGGAAATGGAGGAGGAAGGCAGCAGGGAAGGATGAAGAGGGGGCAGCCACCTGGGGGCCGAGGGGTAGGGGTGGGGGGCTGCCAGGGGACCCCACGGCAGGGCCTGTGCCCATGTTGCTCAGGGTGGCTTCCAGCTCCCGGAGCGTCTCCTCCAGGCTGTCCATCCGCTGGGCAGTGGTGCCCCACGTGGCGCAGCCTGAGTTGGCAGTAGCCTGGCCCTGGTGCTCCCTACTGCAGGTTTGGGCATCGTGTCCAGAGTCCTTGAGGATCTCCTCTGGGTAGGTGTCAGCAGTAGAGGTCTCCGGAGTCCCATCCTGGGCTGGTCCCTGAGGACAGGGTACCCTGGCTCCTCCATCCTCTAGGCTGCAGCCTCCTCTGCCCAGTCTCTTCAGAGCTGCTCCCTCCTTCCAGGGCATGAAGCTGCTCCTCAGCCCAGGAGTCTCTCCCACTACCCCTGGCGGGGCCTGTGGGCCATCCCAGCCCCTCCCGCTGTCAGCCAGGGTCCGTGGTCTTGGGTTGGGAGCTGTCCTGGGTCCCAGTTCCTCAAGTCTGGCCTCTGGCGGGCTAGGAGGGCTGGGGGCACACTCTGTCAAGATGATCCTTGGGACGCAGAAAGCCCTGGGACCTGGGGCAGCCTGCGGGGAGAAGGAAGATGAGGAAGAGTATGAGTCCTGCAACCAAACCCCAAGCTAAAATGGGGGTTACAGTTAGGTGAGCCTAGCCGCTTTCTTTTACAGATGGGGAAACTGAGGCAGAGAGGGTCCTGACAGAGGCTACCCAGTAAGTTGGAGGCAAAATTGGGACCAGAATTCAGGTCTTTCCCATCATACCCCACAGCCTCCTACTTTCCAGTAAAGGTGCCAGTTTGGCCAGGGCAGGCACACGTTTATTTCACACCACCCACGTGAGCCTCCGGGAGCCGGTCTCAGGGTTGCTCCCGTGAGTGTGCCCATCTGTGCAATGACTCCACAACAAGGTGGGGCCAGTGGAGGATGAAGTGAGCTCACTGGGCATGTTATGAGTGCTTCATAAATATTAGTTATTTGTTGAAATGAATGGAATGATGGAAACCTTCGGCCCCGTGTGGTCAGAGACCACATGTCAGCCTCTGGCATCTCAAACCAGAGACTTCTGGCCAACCCCAGCTTTGCGTGCTCTCCCCAAGAGCTTCACAGCTGGAAGGGGTGGGGCTTGCCCCTGCCAAATCCTCTGCTGCACACACACTCGGGCAAAGCTCCCTTGGGTACCTGCTCCGGTGCCAGCATCCCTGGCCCTGGCCTCGGTGAGGGCACAGAGGGAAGCCCCAAGTACCACTCCCCGACATGAGTGAATCCTGGTCTAACTCTGAGCACCAGGCTTGTGCCAGGTGCCGTCACATCCTTCCTCACCTTCAGTGCCTACCTTAACCCGTGAAGTGACTGCTGCTCTCACCAGGGCGAGGGAGGTTACATGCTTCACCCAAGGCCACCCACAGCTAGTTAGTGGCAGAGCCTGGATTTGAACCCAGATAGTCTGACTCCAAGGCCAGTGCTCCTTCCACTAAAGGGAGCCGTGGGGAGACGGGAGAGGGCAGCAGGGACCCCCAACCACCCCCTCCCAAAGGAACCCACCCAGCCTTGCCACCTGCTTACCTGGAAGCGGGGGGTGCTGACTGGGGAGGCAGAGAGGGCGACCTCATGCTCGCCCGGCTCCACAGCCCGATGCTGCCGCAGGATGCAGAGGGTCAGCCAGGGGCAAAAGGCCTTGTCCACTGGGCCCCTGAGGATGGGCTCCCAGAGCCAGAAAGGGGCAGGGCTTGGATGGGAGGAGCCAAAGTGCCAAGGGCACGGCCAGTCCAGGAGGCGCCCCTTCCATAGAGCTCGTCCTAGAGGTTCCTCACACTGCTTTGTGCCCATCCCCTGCCCAGCAGAAGGCACTGCCCACTATCTGATGTCCCTCTGCTCCTCCCCTACCAGGAAACCAAAGCACCACCAGGCCTCCAGCCAGGCGAAATCAGGTGGCCATCAGCACTGAGCCCGCTGTGCGGCAGGGAGCCCCAGACAGGGAATGTGTGCACATGGGAGGCTCTCCTTCCCCAGAGCGGAGGCCCCCCTGCCTTAATCTGACCTGGCAGAGAGAAAGATTCCCAGACCTTCCCCCTCCCCTCCTCCCCAAACACAGTCCCCAGGGGTGGGGTGCAGACAGCAGGTTCACCCCCAAATTCCCAGGAAAGAATAAAGAGGAAATAAGTGCAGCAGGACAGCAGCAAGGACTGAAGTTAGAGAGAAGGAAGAACTTCCCAATGCCAAAAGAACCAGCAGCCAAGGAATGGCATGGCTTTCTTCCATCCCAGGCTCTCTGTCCAAGAGAGCAACGTGGGCCATGGGTTGGTGACGCTGTAGAAGAGCCTACCCCTGTGGCGTCCTGGCCCCCAGCTCAAGGCATAGATTCTAGTGGGAAAAACAGAGCCCTCCCTGGCACAGGCAGCAGAGCAGCGAAGATGGAGGTGGGGGCTAGGCAAGGGCTCAGGACAAGGTCAGATTTTGAGTTGGACCCAAAGTCATCCTGTGAGCAAGATCCAAACTCCAATCTTGGTCCAAGACCACACTCAGCCTTCAGGCCAGACCTAAGCTCAGACTGCGAACCAGAACAAAATACTCAGGCTTCCATCAGCAAGCCCGTGAGAAAATGCAGACCATTTTCTCAAGGGGCCACCAGACACCCAGGCTGCTGGAGTCTCGGGGAGCCCCCCAGCAGGCAGCAGGGAGGAAGGGTTATGCGCCTGTCCTTGGAGTGGGGGAGGGGTGAGTCCACGTGTAATGCTGTGGCAGTGGCTGTGGCGGTGGCGGGACTCGGGACGGTGACTGGCGTTTTAGCGGGTTAGCGTGGGAGGTGAGGAGAGGAAGCTGTGGGGGCACAGGCAGAGAGAGAGCTGAGAGAAGTGGGAGCAGCCCCGTTACCTTCCGTGTAGGGCCTGGGGCTGAGCCCCCAGGGGGCCCCAGGTCCTGGGGGGACAGCAAGGTGGGGATCAGCTGGCGGCGGGGCGTGGGGGGGAGGGAAGACACTGAGGTTCTCTCAAACACCTGGGGAGCAGAAGGTGGGGGCAGGTTTGGAGGAGGGGATACCAGGGAGGACGGGGGTGCTGGCCTGTGGCCTCGGCATCCTTGAGGAGTGTGGCCTGGGATGGCGTCAGCCCCCAGCCTCACCCCATGGTCCCTTGCCATGGCCGCCGGCCCTCTCTGCCCTCATCTGGTCACCTCCAGAGGCCCCGCACTGGGGCTGGGGGTGGCTGAGAACGCTTAAGTGTGGTGACTGACGCCGCTGGGAGAGTCGAGGCATGGGGCGTGAGAGTCTCAGAGTTCTGTCCTCAGAATACTCAAGTATGGGGTCTCAAGCATGAGCTGATCTCGGAACACTCGGGGATGGGGGTCTCCAAACTCAGTGATCTCCGAATCTTAGGATATGGGGTTTTCAGAGTGCAGGAGGTCTGGGGATACTTGGGGGACTCAGAGACTACAATTAAAAAACTCAAATCTGCAAGGAGAGAAGACTTTAGACCCCCACCCCTCATTTCACAGTGGAGAAGAAATGGAGGCAAAAGCCTGAGGTCTGAACAGCCAGCGCTCCACAGGGAGCCCGAGAGCCCATCTTCTGTCTCATCCTGTCACCTGGCCTGGGGGCAGCCTGGCAGGGAAGGGGGCCTGGCTGAGACCTTGGGGGCCAGGTGTGCCCTGACCTACCTCTAGCTCTGCAATGATGCGATCCTCGTCATCCTCGTCCTTGATGGCCGAGGCCATGATGGGTGGTGTGGAAGCCGGGCGGGCCACCTCCGACACGGCCCGGCGCAGCTTCACCTGGGGCTTCTGCACCTCCAACTCCTCGGACTCGGCCTTCTGCAAAGCCCGGGACCCCTGTCAAGGCCAGGCTCTGCCCGGCTTCAGCACCAGCTCACCTCCCAGGCCCCATGGTGTCCCTCAACGGACAGGGGCCTAGCATGGAATTAAGGCAAATACACATACCCGGAATCCCAAACTAGCAGGACAAAGTTGCCACTGGCTACCCCCTCCTTCCTTCCATGTTCTCTGAGAAAGGGGTCTCTTTCCCACCCCAGAGGGTCTCCAGAAGTCATCTGAGGATTCATCCTAACTCAGTCCCCCGGCCCTCTGTCTGAGGTGGGAGTGGTACCTTGATGAAGGCCGAGTCCTTCTTGCTGGTGACCACCACCTCTCCAGTGCGTGTGGTGGTCAGGCCATGGGAGGAGGGGAAGCTCCGGCGGGGAGGGGGCGGCGGGGGTGACTTGGAGGGCTTCTCTGTGCGGTATCGGGGCACTGTCAACTCATCTGCAGGCACCAAGGGGCCGGGGGTCAGCGGGCCTGCAACCCTGGAGTCAGTGCACTACATTTAACTTGAAGGGGATAAACCTTGCTTCTTCCTCCAGGGAGGACAGGAGGAAGTGAGAAGAAAGCCTGGGGGCAAGAACACAGGGCCCCTTCCTTCTCTTATCTCCTCCTGCACGCCAGCCCCAAGCCCTGTCCCTCTCCTGACAGCACTCTTGCTACTCCGAGTGTGGTCTGTGGACCAGCAGTACTGGCAGCGCCTGGAAGCTTGTCAGAACTGCAGCTCAGGCCCCACTCCTGGGCTGCTAAATCAGGATCTGGTTGAACAGATCCTGGGGTGACAGACGCACATTCAAGTTAGAGAGGCGCTGCTCTAACGACCTCTTTCCCATTGCCCCTCACCCTTGCCCTGGCTCAGCTCTCCATCTCTCCTCCAGGGATCCTGGCCCCTCCCACTGGGCTCTCCTTTCCCCCAATTAGTCCTCCAGCCCTGTTTCCAGGGTAACCTGCAGAGAGGTCACTCTAACCATGACATTCCCCTGCCTTTGATCTTGCAGTGGCTCCCCATCACCCCAAACCATGTCCAAGCTCCTTAGGCCAGCACCTCTGCACCTACCAGGCTTTCAGCCTCAGCTCTGCCTGCTGCTCCCCAGGTTGGACCCTGTTCAGGCCACACCACACACACACACACCTCCAGGCGTTTGCACACACTGTTCCCTCACCCTGGAGTACTCTCTCTCACTGGCTGGGGAAGTGCCCACTCATTTGCAAGACTTCAGTGAAAAGTCACCTCTTCAGGGAAGCCTTCCTGCCCTCCTAGGGCCTCCACCAGGACTGCACAGTGCCAGCATTCACCGCTGCTACTACCTTTAACATCTGCATTCTATTTCTGGTTTACATACTAGGCATGGCCCGGCACAGATTACTTAATCATTTTGAGCCTATGTCCTCCTCTGTAAAATGGGAATAACTACCGTATCTGCCTCCTGGGCTTGTTATAAAACAGTAAGGATGAATACATTAAAAACAATGGAACAGTTCTTATCACAGAGCAAGTGCTTGATACACACAAATGTCAGTGTTATTTCCCCCACTAAATTCTGAGCTCTTTGAAAGCAAGCCCTGTCTTATTTCCATATCTCCAGCACCTAGCCCACAGTAGGTGCTTAACAAATATACATTGCAGGAATGAATAAAATGAAGGAATGATGACTGCCACTTCTGGTCTGGATTTCTGCCTACCCCGGGACCGTGACTCAGGCTGGTGACCATGGGAACTGTGTCAGTATCAGCGTTGGAACCCACCCTCAACACAGCCTGGTTTGTGGCATGCACCCAGCCAAGTCATGGAGGCGGATGACTCTGCCTGGACTTGCTTGTCCTCCCTGCCTGGTCCTCTCAGCGGCTCCCTTCCCAGGACAGTGGGAAAAGCCAGGATGGAATCCAGCTCGCCCTGTCCTTCTGGGTCCCAGTCTCCCTTTAGTGGCCGCTGATGTCCCAGGGCCTCCCTTGTCTGGCAGCCCGGCCACAATGATCTTGAGTCCCCAGTGCCTCCCCCATCAGCCTGAGCTCCCGAGGAGGGCACTCCCCGACACTGGGCTCCTCACCAACCCTACTACTCCCCATACCTGAGCCCCTCCTCCCGCTGGGCTCCGTTCGGGGGGCTGCCTTCTGGCCGTGGGGGGCCTTGGGGGGCTTGTGGTCTGGAGTGGGAGCCGGGCCTGGATGGGCCTTGCTGGCACAGTCCAGGTCAGGGATGGCCTTGAGCAGCTCTGCCTGTGTCTCTTCCAGCAGCCGGTTGATGTCCTTGGCACTATACTGGGTCAGGGCTGCCCGCTTCTCCTCCCAGTCTCGCTCTGCAGCCTTAAGAGGGAGCCAGGAGTCAGGACCAAGGTAGCTCTCCCGCTCCAGGAACTCTGGGGCCTCAGCCTCCTCCCCCAAGCCACAGAGGCAAGGAATAGAAAAGGAAGGCTCATATTTGATCCCACCTCCAGGAAGACTCTTTGACTTCTTGTGGGTATGACATGGCATCCCCATGGGTAGGAATGCCATCCTCATTATATGCTACATTCATGATAAACTTAGATCTATTTCTGGGCATTCTATTATTTCACTGACTACATAGTCTATTCTTGGGCAAACATCATAATGCTTTGATTATTGTAGCTTCATAATATGCTTTCTGTCTAGAAGGGCTAATGTCACCCTCATTATGCCTGTTAGACTTCCATTAGGGCACTGGCCCTCCCCCACCAAGGAAAAAGACCCACAGGACTGGCACTCCCCACCCTAGGAAGGATGGTCGTAAGAATGTGTGAACCTGGCTCACGGCCCCACCCACAATCCCTGGCCCCAGCACCTCGACAGACACAGCCTTGTCCACACTTCTCTTGCCAGGAGTGTCCAAGCCTTTGGTGGGGTTGCTCCCCTTAGGGGTAAGAGAGGCTCCTTCAGCTGGTCCGCTCAGCTCATGCAGGTTCAGCGGGGGGCTGGGGGGTGGCATTTCGAAGTCCACGCTCTTGTTGAAGTCAGTCTCTGCTGTCACCTTCTTTGGGGACTGACTCAGGAGATTGTTGGGGGGTGGCCACACACCCTCATCCACTTGCCTGGGGTTGGGAGAGTTGGGAGCAGCTGTGAGGCCAGCAGGTGATGACCCTTCTGCGGGAAGACTGGCCTGAGGGAGAAGGGGTGGGAGGCAGCATCCTGGGATGCTGCAGGAGAGGTGGGAGGGCCTGGGGAGGAGTGACTGCCCCTGGTATAAGAGGAAGCCAGGTCTACAGCATGCAGGGGTCACAAGGCAGAGCTGAGATGCCAGTTCAGTCGGCACATCAGTGACCTTTGGGGGAGCTGGGGTAAGGGTTCAGTCTGACCTATGGGTCTGGACCCAGTGTGTGATCCCATGGGAAATCAGAGGTCAGGGACAGAATGACCTTCGGATCTGGGCCAGTGTGTCCGTGACCCCGCGGCAGCGCTTGAGGAGCCCATCCAGGCGCTGGGGCTCCTCCTTCAGGAACTTCACCGCCTCCACCTCCACGCGCAGCACCACCCGCATCTTGCTCTGCAGGCCCGGGAAGTGAGCTTCGGAGACAGGAAGGTATGAGCCGGGGACAGAGAGAGCACCGCAGACTGGGAGGAGGGGATGGTGGCTGGAATATGGCAGACTCCCCCGCCCTGGACAACATGCTGCATTCGCAGGCCCCAGACCCACCCTTGAGCTCCGTCAGCGTCTCCCCGAGCTGCTTCAGCAGCAGTGCCTTCTCCTCCAGCTCGGGGCCAGGAACCAACCGGTGGTTGTGGGACACATCCCTCTGGATCTTCTCCACCGATTTCTCCAGGTCACTGCAGCCACAGAGAGACCCCCTCAGCTCTTTTGGCCTGAGATGCCAGCCCAGCCCCCTGAAATTGGGCAGCTGGAAAGAAATCAGGCCACCAGTTGGATCAAAAGTAAAAGCAGGAGGCTGGGCGTGGTGGCTCATGCTCGTAATCCCAGTACTTTGGGAGGCTGAGGCAGGCAGATCTCTTGAGCCCAGGAGTTCAAGACCGGCCTGGGCAACATAGGGAGACCTCGTCTCTGCAAAAAAATAAAATAATTAGCTGGGTGTAGTGGCAGGTGCCTGTAATCCCAGCTACTGGGGAGGCTAAGGCAGGGGGATCGCTTGAGTCCGGGAGGTTGAGGCTTCAGTGAGCCGTGATTGTGCCACTGCACTCTAGCCTAAGTGACAGAGGGAGACCTTGTCTCAAAAACAAACAAACGTAAAAGCCAGCCACCAACCACATGCTCAAGTAAAATCTGCAATGCCAAATCTCAGAGATGAGGAGACTTCAGAAGCTCTCCCTAAGAGGTGCCCTGCACCATCTGTCCCCCTTGGAAGCTCTGATCCTCAGCAATATCTGCCCCAGCATCTCTCATTGTAACTTGCATCCCCTGATTATATTCTGCCAAGGAAGCAGAGAGAACTTGGTTGCCTTTCAGAGAACCAGAGGCAGAGCACGTGCCCCTGGGGAGGTCTCTTGTTTCGGGGGAAACTGCCATGTTCATTGCCCTTCTCCCAAATGATCCAGCCACACAGTCTCTTTCCTGAGGGCCAAAGCTGCTTTAGATTTTCAGCTAGTGTATGCTGAACTTGTGTCATTTAAGACCCTATATTCTTCTAAACTGTAAATCAGATCAGGTCATCACTCCTGCCATTGAACCCTAAATGGATCCCATCATCCTGAGGCTAACATCCAAACTTTTCAGTGCAGCCAAGAAGGGCAGGAAGATGGTAGTTGAAAACTTGGTTCTAGAGTCAGACTGATCTAAGCTCCAATCCTAGCTCTGCCCTTGCCAGAGGAGAGATCTTGGGCAAGTTACCTAATATCGCTGGACTTCAACCTCCTCGACCAAAAAATAGGGATGGTAAGAGTTCCCCGCTAGGTGTGGTGGTTCATGCCTATAACCCCAGCACTTTGGGAGGCTGAGGCGGGCAGATCACCTGAGGTCAGGAGTTCAAGACCAACCAGCCAATATGGCGAAATCCCGTCTCTACTAAATATACAAAAATTTGCCGGCCATGGTGGCATGTGGCTGTAATCCCAGCTACTTGGGAGGCTGAGGCAGGAGAATCACTTGAACCCAGGATGGGAGGTCGCAGCGGGCCGAGATCGTGCCACTGCACTCCAGCCTGGGCAACAGAGTGGGACTTTGTCTCAAAAAAAAGAAAAAAAAAAAAAGAGTTCCCCCTTCATGGGGGTCATCAGGTGGATTGGATGAGCTAATGCAGGCGGCAAGGGCTCAGTGCCTGGGAGCTGCTCTTGTTTTCCGTGCCGCTGTACCCCTCGTCCCATCTGGCTTCTGCTTAGAACCCTTCAGAACTGCTCTGAGGTGCTACATGTGCTGCCCTCTCTGGCTCTTTATAATGCTGTTTTCTCTGCCTAGAATATTCCATTCACTCATACACATACACGCACACACATGTGCTAACTCCCACTGATCCTCAGGTCTCAATGGGAAGCTCTCCTCCAGCCCTTCCCCTTGTGGTTGCTGGGTCTGCTTCCTGCCCTCCAAACCGCTGAAGCTCCTGTTGGCTGGGTTGTGCAGCCTTCTGGACTACTAACCCCAGGCAGGCAAGGACCATGTCTTCCAGATTCATCTCTGGTTTCTAGCACCTGGCATGGTGCCTGGTGCAGAGTAGATTTCTGGGAAATAATGTGGAATGAATGAACAAGGGAGAGAAGGAACTGCTGCCCAGGTAGTCTGACATCTCTGACCCAAATGCGGAACTTTATATACATTCCTGTCAAATCCCATCCATTGGATTTCAGCTCAATCTAGGTGCAAACAACTTTTGAATTTCAGTTCTATTATCCAACAGATTTGCTCCCGCTTAAAGCTGTGTGTCATCAGCAAATCTTATCAGCACACCTTACCCATCTTCATCCAACTAACGGTGAAAAGACAGACTGGGTTGGAGTCAAGGGCAAAGGCTTGTGACTTAGCAGCACTACCAGTTAAAGAGCTATCCTGTATTATGCACTTACTGTATGCCAGGTGCCACACTCAGGCCTTGGCTTTCATTACTTTGATTAATCCTCAAAACAAATCCTGGAAGTGGGAACAGTTATCATCTCCAGCTTACACACAGACAAACAGTGGCTCAGAGCCTAGACTACACACCCCAGCCCGCCTTGCAGTGATAAGTGGCCATTTAACTGAAGTCTACCCAATGGAAGATGAGTGGAAGGGGTACATGCTGCTTCCAGACCTGGCCCACAAAAACCTCCCATGTAAGATCCTCCATGCTCCTTTTTCTTTTTTCATTAGTTGGAAACTCTCTGGGTGATCTTGGAAAACACATGTTGACGACAGCAGAATCTCCATCAGCCTGAGTCCCTGAATGACTGCATGGAGAAGAGAGCCACCTGCCTAACACACGCAATACTGTTCCATGAGAAAGATATGTTTATTACTTTTGAATTATTAAACAATTTGGGAGCTTATTTGTTATAGCAAGCTACCCTAATTAATTAGCTATCCTAACTAAGACTCTGTCTTTAAAAAAAAAAAAAGAAGAAAGAAGAAAAAGATATTCAAAGAGATTAACTAGTTAGTCCAAGGTCACACAGCCATTTTGTGGCAGAGCAGGATCTATTGACATCTGACATCAGCCATTGGTTCTGCTGCATCTCATTCCCACACTACACCAACATCATCCATGCTGCCCCCAATCCATACACTGTCCTAGTCCAGCCCTCGCCCTACCACATGGGAAAGAACAACTCCCCTGCTCATATGTGTGATACCTGACAGGTCCAAGCTGTGCCAGTTTTATAAAATGGTCACTCCCAAACATCATTCAGAAGAGGAAGAGACTGTCATGTAAAGGACTCAAATAAGACTTCAGGAGATGACAACACTGCAACTCTCAGGCAGGAGGGAGTAGGCCTCCCCACTTGATTTTCTCATCATCCAATCTGCCAAAGTTGTGGGGCCTCTAACCTGGGCAAGTTCTGCAAATGAGTCCCAGGCCAGCTAGTCTAGACACTGGATGAAAAAGTGGCTAGGCTTTCCAAACCCAGATTTAGTCCTGGAGGGGTCAACAGGGAAGAGTCAAAATGGAACCAGCTAAATAATTTATGGGGCCCAATGCAAAATGAAAATGTCACCTCTAGTTTAAAAATTATTAAGAATTTCAAGATGGCAACAGCAGAACATTATACCAAGCATGGGGCCCTTCCGAGCATGGGGCCCTGAATGACTGCACAGGTGGCATACCTACAAAGCTCGCCCTGGGTTAGGCAAAGGTGGATTCCAGGACCTAAAAGGTCTCAGTCAGCAGAGGCTGCACCTAAAGGCAATGCCCAGACAGACCTTAAGTGCTGGGCTAGATGAACAGGTGAGTGAGTCAAGCTGAATGAAAGAGAACCAGTTTTAACTTCCAGCAAGTTGCCAGGAAAGAGGAAGGGGCATAGCAAATTGGAGCAAGAGTAAGTGTGTAGGGGCTATGGCCAGAGTGTGGGGTAGGGGGGCTGCAGGGTTAAAGCCTGGGAAGGCTATGGGAGCTGGGCAGGGAGGGCCTTCATGGCCAAGTTGGAGCCCAGTATCTGCCCAACCCAGTAGAGGCAGGAGCCCTCTTTCAGGAGGATGGAGAATCCTGCCAGAAACAGTACTGCAGGTCCCAAGCTCTCTGAATAATGGGTTTGATAATGGGGCAGGGGGTGTGGAGTCTGTGTTCCTGGAGAATCAAGGCTCTCAGGGAGTCAAGGACCAAACACTTATAATGACAGTGGCATAAATCTGTCCTTTTGTATCTTCTAGCTCTGTTCTTTTAGATCTCCTTTAATTTTCCTTTAATGTCTCAGTAAAATTCTTTTGAATATTCCAACCCCCCTCCTCTGGGCTGAATGAAAAGGGACAAGGAAAGGATAGAAAATCTGGAGAAATGGAATTCCCTGGGTGAGGAGAGATGGTACCTGCCAATCTGCTTGGAGATCTGGCTGGAGTCATCACTAAGTTATCACACCTAGAGTGATGGGGTGGCTGCTCCTGGCTTATGTCCCCTGGGGGTGGCCCCTTACCCTATTTCAGCCACATGGTGTCATGGGAATTGTTGCCTTGGGTCTTGCTGAAATGCACATGTACCACTAGGCTATGTGGGCCCCAGGCTGAGGAGCAGCGACCCATCTCAAGGAGCCCCTAGCAAGAGGCTCATTTATGACTTAGTGAGGAAGCTGGGCTCCAAGGAGCAGCCTCTCCTGGCTCCCGGAGTCCCCAGCCAGTACAACTCAACCCCTTGTTGAAAAGAGAGGTGAAAAGCTTAATGCTGGGTACAGATGAGGACACTGGGACACAAAGAGGGGCAGGAACTGCCCTGATCACTCAGCACCTTAGGGCTGGCACTGGACTCCAGGTCCCCTGGTGCCTTGTGTCACCAAGAGGGGGTCCACAGGAAGGAGCAGGGCCTCTTGTCTCAGATCCCTATCACTGGCGAGGGAAAGCAGGGTGGGGGTGCTCACTCCCTGGATGGACACTGAAAGGCAGCATCTCCCTTCAAAGGTGCCAGACAATGGAATGGTTGGCCAGACAGCCATTTGCTAAATTTGGATCAGAAGACTGTCTTCTGTTAACCCCTCCATGCCTAAGCATGTGGAGGCGGAGTGTTCACGATTCCTCCTTCCTTCTGAAAACACTTCAGCCCTGTTCCAGCTGCACTAGGAAGGAAGGTGGGTTTTCCTTGGCTATATCTGGACTCAGAGATCAGGGAATCAGATCTCCAATGGTGGCTGGTCAGCGCCAGGCTGGAGCAGTGGCGGCACCTGAACGCTCCACCTGAACGCACTACCCGAGCGTCACTTTGCACGGGTCACAGGCCAAAATGAAAGTAGGCAGAGGGCAGAGGGAAATCAGGCAGCTGGCCAGATGACAGTGAAGCTGCAGGCCACAGGAAGCCTGAGTGTGGATCATTATGAAGCAAGACCATAGCAAAGCAGGCATCAAGCCAGAAAAAAGAAATCAGGAATAATGCCAGCCGATCAAAGGTTTGTGGGTCACACAGAAATCAGGCCAGAGAAGGAAATCAGGCTTCAGAACAGACCAACGCCACCTGTGACTCAGAGGGAAGGGAGCTGCGCCTCCCAGGGAAACCAGGTGGCGGTACTCCGGCCGCACCCCCACCTCTCCCTCCCCCGCGGGCCCAGCCTCACTTGAGCTGCTGGGTAATAAGTTCCTCGTCGTTGAGATAGCGCAGCCGCTCCTCCTCCACCAGGGTGCGCTGCCGCTGCAGCGGGTCCTCCTGCCGCCGCGCCGCCTCCGACACGCGCATGCTCAGCTCTGCCTCCGTGCGCTTCAGCAGCCCGCGCACCGACTCCTGGTTCTGTAGCTGCGGGACGCACGGACGGATGGACCCGGGTGGGGGGAGCGGAGGCGCGCGGCAGGGGAAGGGACGGGAGAAGGCGGGAAGAGGATTGCCCAATCCAGGGCAGGGCTCGGCAGAAGATGCAGCTGCTTGGCTCCGCCTCAGGCAGCAGCGAAGGGGTGGGATGGCGAAGGGCAGGGGCAGAGGGCTAAGTTCTAGGGAAGGCAGGAGGAGAACGGATGGGGATCGTGGAGTGGGGAGCGTTTAAATGGGCCATGCAAAGGGGCAGCTGCATGGCTGTGGCCGCAAGCAGCAGTGACGGGGTGGTTATTGCAGGGGGAGGAGAGCAAGGTTAAGTTCTGGGGAATATGAGGCAGGAGAAGGGGTTGGGAATATTTGCGCGACAGGGTGTGGCCCTATGTAGGTCCCTGCCGACAGTGCGGCCGCATGGTTGTGGCTTCCATCATCCCGGAATGGGGACGGGACTGGAATGAAGGACTCAAGCGCTGGCGTTTGATAGAGTTTCCACGGCTGGGACAGGAAGACTAAGTTAACCATTGATCCAACCCAGTTCCAAGCCTGAATGGCGGGGGTGGGCGAGATCTTATCCTTTGCCCAGATGGCAATTCTCTGCCCCCTCCCCAGCCTGTCTCTGCTCATTATCCTCACCTGACGGGCCCTGGGCAAGCTTGAGGAGCGGACACGGCGATGCCAAGCTCCTGACAGGTGGGACCATCTGCCAGGCAGGGCCGGGGGAGACTGTCAGGGCTCAGGAGGGAGGAGCTGAGGGGACTTGGGGGAAGGGCTCTCGCTGACTTAGGGAAAGGGTTGCAGGGCAGGAAGGAACTGGAACTGCCCCGAGGGATACTGACGAAGGAGGGGCTCAGTGGGTGACTGGGGCTCCAAGAGGGCGATGGGGACTCAGGGAAGGAGAAGGAGGGCTCAATGAGGGGGATACGGGCGAGGGGTAGGGCCTTGGTGAGGAAGCGGAGGTTCAGCGAGGGGGCAGAAGCTCAAGAAAGGGGAAGGGGAGAAAGGGTTCGGAGAGAGACCAGTGAGTGGCAAAGGACTCGGGCGTGGGAGCTCTGGGAAAAGGATGAGGTAGTAGGGGATGGGACGGGACTTGTGGCAAGGGGCTTCGACCAGTAGGTGGGCGTTGGTGGGGCGATGCCCGGGATGGGGCGGTACCTGGAGCTTGCGCAACTGCTGGAGCTGGCCGCGCAAGTCACTGGCGCTGTTCTGCAGGCCTCGCAGGTGAAGCTGCATCTGCAGCCGACTAACGGCGGTAGGCTGCCCTGCAGGGGTGCTGCTGGCCGAGGGCGGGGGCGGGCCGGACACGGGGGTGGCCCCGCTGCTCCGGCCGCCTGACCCACAGGCTGCAGAGGACCACGAGGATGGGAGAAAGTGAACAAACTGTGAGCCTGGGAAGGACTGGGCTGGTACAAGGTCCTCCCTACTCTCCACCAAATAGCCAGAGAATCCCGTGGCTCTGACTACCTGCCCCAAGTGGCCAGCCCTAACGGTGGGGACCAAAGTGCCAGGGCAAAGACCTCTTGGGCTAAGGCTAGTGATGTAGCTATTGCTTAATCCCCACTTTATAGATTAGGAAGCAGGCTCTGAGAGAACAAGGATGGGGGAGGGGGAGGGTCACTCACCTGCTGAGGGGGTAGCTGCTCCGTTGGAGCCTTCAATCTTCTCACTGTGGCACAGGGAAAAAAGCCATTAGGGGGTCCAGGCCAGCCCCAGACCTCCAGAGCTGGGTGGGACCTTAGATGTCATCTCCTCCAGCTCTCTGATGTCAGGATAGAGTCCCAGAGAACGGAAGGGATTCACCCAGGGTCATCCAGTGAGACACTGGCAGAGCCGATGCCCATTTCCCCTTCCTCCTGCTCCACCCCCAGGCCCTGGCAGTGGTGTTGGGAGAGGGGCCTCACCTGGGGGTCTCAGGCTCAGAGCCTCGAAGTAAGGCGCTCTGCACCAGGCCTGTGAGGCTGGCAATCTGCTTCTCCATAGCCTCCATGCGCTCCCTGGGGAGGAAGGGGGTCTGGGCAACCTTGCCTCTGAGCACAGGGTCTCTCCTGCCCAGCCCCCCATTCCTAAATTGATAACCAGAAGAAACACCGTCCCATCCCTGGCTACCAAAACACAGACAATGCAAAGGGCCCCAAGCCTAAGGATCAGGTCCAAAGCCTCCCATCTCACCTTTCACTCCCTCCCTAAAGGCTGCACACTGATCTCTCCATGCCCGGCAATGCTTTCCCCTGCCTGCTCTGCCTTTCTCCTGACCCCCTCCCAAAAACATTCCACAGACCCCAGGAACCCCGAGGAACCCCTCCTTCCACACCACCCAAGGGAAGTGGAGGTATGTTGAGTTTCTCCCCACTAGACCAGGACAGGAACTGGGTTTGCCCAGCTTGGCACTGACAGTAGCGTGTGCAGTGCCTGGCACACAGGCCACGTAAGAGCTGGGTGAAGGCCAATGGCTTCTCACTGCTCAGCAGCGCTGCCTGAGGGCGCAGGTTACCTACTGCCCTGGTTACCTCCTCCAGCCCTGCACCCTTAGGAGGGGACTGAGCGATGGGCAGGGGCTCCTCAGCCTGGAGGTTAGGTACCCGAATGTGCTCCTTTCCCCGTCACCATTTCTCAATAGCACCCTCCTCCCCAGTGGACTTCAGCTGTCCTGGTGCTGGACAGCTCTCAGTGCTGCAAACTCTTAAGCTGGAAAGCCACTAAAAGTGGTTCAGCCCCTCAATTTTACAGTTGGGGAAACCAAAGCTTAGAAAATGGATGCAAACACAAGTCTCCAGAGTCCTCGTCTGGGGACCTCTCAACTACCCCCTTGAGTCTTGAGGATGGGAGGAAAATGACAAGCTGGTCTTTCCAATGCCCTCCCTGCCACATCCAAGATGCTTTCTGGCGACCCTTCAAGACTACTCAAGGTCTCCAAAGGACTCCGGGATCTCAGTCCAGGACACACACCTGCCACGGACTCTGCCGTGCACCCTCTCCACAGCGCATCCCCCACCCCCAGTCCCTGAAGCCTGATTAACGTCCCTCACCTGGTCTCCGTGTCCTTGGCTGGCACTGGCGGCCCGAACCCAACCAGCGAGCGCTCCCCAGGCCCAGGGAAGAGCTCCGAAGGGGGAGCTCCGGCTGTCGAGGCGCTCCCCGCGCTGCGGGTCTTCCCTCCAGGACTCTCGGCGAAGACGGACGAGGAGCCCGAGTCCTTTCGGAAGGACTGGCGCACTGGCGAGCCGCGGCTGGGCGGCCCCGAGTAGGGGCTGTGCGGCGGCGGGGGGCCTCCGGGGGGCCCTGCCACGTCGGCCAGCTTCTGCGGTGACGAGGGCGGCAGGCGGAAGCCGTAGCCGTCCCCATACAGCGGGCCGCCGCCGCCGCCCGCAGCCTTGTACAGGGAGTCCTCCAGATCGGACTGCAGAGCGGCGGCCGAGTAGGTGCTTAGCGAGCGCACCGAGCCGCGCTTGTAGAGGCCGCCAGCTCCCGGGTAGGCGAACGGGTCGCCGGCGGCCGCGGCCAGGCTCAGACGGCCCTCGTGCAGTAGCCCGTAGGGGTCTGCATAGAGACCCTCGCCCTTCACCAGCACCATGCCGCCCGCCTTGCCCGCCAGGTCCTCGTCCGGCTTCACGTCGCGCCGCTCCAGGATGGCGCTGGGGCTGGGACTGACGCCCTGGGCGGGCGGGGCGCCTCCCAGCCTTTCGGCCGCGTGGTGCACCGGGCTGCCGGCATACGAGGGCGGGCGCCCCCCGGCGTACGAGAGACGCGAGCGCGACGGCGAGCCGGACTGCAGCCCGGATGGCAGCCCCGACGGCAGCCCGGGCGGCGGCGAGCCGGACGCCAGGTGCGGCGCTGGCGACAGATTGTTGAGGCGCCGCGTGGGCGACGACTCCCGCGACGCGTACACCATCTCTCTCTGCGCAGAAGACAGCCCGGAACCCCACGGGGCTGGTCACCAAAGACACCCCTGCCCCTTGCTTGAGCAGCCAGCATCTCCTCCCTGACGCTTAGGAAGTCCCTTCAGGTCTCAACCCTCCCTCCATCCTGCTGCGTCTAGGGCCCCTTCCCCATCAGGGTTTCCAGCATGGCGGAAAAGGTGGCTGATGAAGAGGCACCAGAGGGGTAACCTTCAGCTCAGCTACCGTTAGGGGTGGGAAGTAGAAGGGGAAGCGGTGGCTCCAGTTCCTGAGAGAGGCCTTAGAATATCTGGAGGCAAATTAGCAAAATCCCAAGTGGACAGGCCCGGAATGGAGAGGAAAGTAGCAGGTGGGAGAGGGGCTCTTCCCTAACCCTTCAGCCCCTATGCTCCCTTCTCCAAAACTGGCCCTGGTTCCCGATGACAACTTCCCAGACCCTGCTCCCCGGACCCCATGTGCCCAGCCTCCCCAATGCCCTGGGCATGCCCAGCCATACCCGGAGGTCCCCGTTGGTGAGGTGTGAGCCAGGGAAGGCAGCGTAGAGGGGCTCCTTCCTATAGATCTTGATTATACTGCGGTCCTGGATGTCCCTGAGAGAGGCGGGGGGACGGGGGTCACCACCCATCTCCCAGCCGTGCACAATGAGAAGGGGTGGCTTCTCCAGGCCAAGAGAAGAGGGGTGGCCAGAGGCACCGGGATCCCCAACTCTTTCCTAAATCCTTCGCTCAGGCTGCCTGCCACAAGCACACACGCCCAGCAGCCTCCACCCCGGCCTCGTCCTGGTCTCAGGCGCCATTTTCAGGTTAGCTCAAAGCAAAGGGAACCAGCGGGGGTGGATGATTTAGAGAGGGGGTGGGGCTGAGATGGCCCAGGAAGGGGGCGGGGCGGTAGGGCTCTGGGAGGGGCGCGGAAAGGCTGAGATCGGGTCAGGACGGAGCTGGGGAAGGGCCGGCAGGGTCCAGCACCCGGCAGAAGAGGAGTGTGGGAAAACCCTCCCGCATCCCCCTGGGGCTACGCCCACCGGACGTCCTCCAGCTCGTAGAAGACGTTGCGAGCCTCGTCTTTGATGAGGATGGCGGTATTGGGCGACTTAAGCATGCCCATGGTGAGCTTCTGCGGGAACATATGCGCGATGAGTGCGTGCAGCGTGTCCAGGCTGCTGACCTCGTGCGTGATGTGCACGCGCCGAGTCTCCTCCCCGAACTGCAGGAACAGCACCCCTGCGAAGGAGACACCGCTCTCGCTGTCACTGCCGCCGTCTCCAAGCCGCCCTCCAGGAGAACGCGGGGAGCTTTCGGGAGCTGCGCCAGCCCCGCAGCGGCAGGGTCTGAGGCCAGACGCCGCCCCCGAGTGCAGGTGCACCCAGGCACCTCTCATGCTGCCGGCGGGGGCGCCAGGCCGGGTCTCCAGCCTCTCAAGGCACTCACTGGACTCCAGGCAGTTGGAGGAATTTGGACAAGAAAATGGAAGTAGGGGTAGGAGCAGGTGGGACGGAAACTGAGAGGAAGTGAGCTGATGGAGAGAGAGGTTGGAGAGAGTTAGAGAAGGGAGATGGGAGAGAAGGGAGGGATGAAAGAAAAGAAGGGAGGGATGACAGAAAAGGAAGCAGGAGGGAGAGAGGAGGCTTGGAGGAAAAGGGGTCGGGTGGGGATGCTGAGGGCAAGAGAGAAATGGAGAGAGCTGGGGTTGCTGAGGGAGAAAGAGCAGAGCTTGAGGCGAGCTGGCAAGCTGCAGGGGAGGAGGGGGCTCCAGAGAGTGAAGAGCAGAGGGAGGAGCCTGTGCCGGGAGGGAGGGTGGACCGGGCGGGCAGTACCTGGGGAGCGCAGCTTGGTCTGGCTGGCCGAGCGAGAGAGAGGCAGGCTCTGTCGGAAGCGGTTCATCCTGCTGAAACCCAGGGGCAGCTCGGCCTCCGACATGGTCTCCAGCGACTCGGCCGAGGCGTAGGACAGCTTTGCCGCCTGGTCTGCCAGCCCAGGCTGGGCTCCCTGAGTGTGGCGTGAGCTGCGGGTCTGCAGGGGCCGGGCAGGGCGAGAGGAATCAAGGATGAGCACCCCCTGTCACTGCCCATATCCAGGCCTGGGAAGGTCCTGCCAGCCAGTGACACCCAAACAGATTACAGACTCCTGACATGGCCACAAGAGAGTTCCCCAGTCTCTCCTGGCCTTGGCCTCCCTGGGACACCAGGCAGGTAAGGAGTGGGCAAAGGACCCAGGCACCCTGGGAAGACAGACAAGAGGCCATGTGAGTGGGAGCCATGGGCACGGCTGCTATTTCAGGCTTCCGAAGAACAACAACACAAATTTGTTACTGAGGTGAGCAGCAGAATAGTTGAGCAAATTGGGGCGTTAGTTCCAGACATTAATTAAGTGGTGGGTTTGTGAGCAGATAATTTATTCTTCATGGAGTTCAGAGAGTGGGGGTGGGGGTGGGAAGCAGGGCCCAGGGAGAAAGCAAAGAGAGCTGGGACCCCAGGATCCCAGCTTTGAGGGGATGCAGACCCTGACAGAGCTGGACAGAGGGAATGTCCTTGATTTAGGGTGACTGAGAAAACTATCCCAAACTCCTCAAAGCCAGCTGGACCTGGATTTGAGACCACCTGCCCAGTGCCCACAATGCACATGTTAAGTCTGATGTGACACACATGCACACATGACATATGTGCCAGGCCTCAGCCCCTCCTTGCAAGGCACATGCTGCCACACAGCCAGCCAGCCTCCCCCAGGACCCTCTGAGAGACAGCAGCCACTTCTCTGAAGCTGTAGCTGAGGCTGATATCTGGCTGGGGGTAGGGAAGGATGTCACAGGATAGCTTGATGGCTCTCTCCGTGGGGGAGGAGGAGTCAGGATTATTTCAACCACACTTTAAGAGCCTACTTTTGGCTAAAACCTGGGGATGTCACTCAGGACCACAGCCCCTGACATTCTGCCCTAGTCCCTGGGCAAGAAATCTGGTGGTTGTACAGAAACTGGTACAAGGAGTGAGATAATGAATCTGATCTACATCTTTCCATGTTATGTGCATTATATACACATATGTATTACATATACATATACTGTCAAGAAATAATGTTGCCCAATTATATTTTTTTGTAAAACAAATTGTCTATTTTTAACAACAAATCACTCAAAACCATTAACACTGGTTATCTCAGGGTTGACAGTTTCCTTTTTTGACTTTATAGATTTCTCTACAAAACTGTGTGAATAGATTCCTTTTATAATTAAAAAAAGACAACAATAAAATATCTCTAAAAAGGAATGATTTATTCTCCTCTTCAGCTCCCTCTCTCCCCAATTCCTGATTTACCCCTAATTAATCTCCATCTTCATATTAACTCAATTTAATGTTCCAATTGGATTAGCACTCTTAAAGGGAGAGCATCTTCTTCCGATGGGCAGTATGCCCAGCTGTCCCCAAGGTGGCCTTGAGGGTTTGGGGACCATAATAGATCAGATGTGAGGATCAGGAAGCTTCCCCTCTCAAGCACAATGCCTTGACCACTGGGCGGGCGCGGGTCTTGGCAGGAGGAAGGCAGCACAGAAATGGGCCGGGGGCAGCAGGGAGGGGCCACCTGTGCTTGTGACCAAGAGGCTAAGGCTCAGCTCTAGGCTGATTACCAGTGCCAGCCCACACCCCTCTGTCTCACCTTCATCCCAGCTGAAGGGCGGGGAGCTCTGCAGCAGTGTAGGGAACCAGGTCTGGTCTGGTGGTCATGGGGTTGCCTGGCAACTAAAAGGTCAGTGGTTGCCAGGCTGGTGCGGATGAGGGGCTACAGAATTCAGGCAGCATGAGGCAGCCAGCAATGATGAAGAGTAGGAGGTGACCATGGTGCCAGGGGGGACACCAGTGAGGTGCCAGTGAGGAGGTGGAACAGGGGTCCAAATGAAGGGAGGCAGGGCAGGGATCCTGGGGGTTGCTGCCTGCCAAGAAGGCAGAAACCCTGGGAGAAGAGATGCCCACATTCCCTGCTCCACCACTTCCTAGCCCCATGGGCACCTTTCCATTCTCACAGCCTGTACAGAAAACCCTCTCGAGAGGAGGGAAAACCTGCTGCCACTTCTCACCATCCTTGGGCTGAGACAATAGGGCAGAGGAAAGTGAAACATCCAGAAGGACTTCCCCTCCATAAGGAAGATGGCAGAAGAACAAAACAGTGAGTCAAGCAGAGCTCTCCAAAGATAGGACAGGGGTCGCCATGGGAGGTAGAGAGCACCTATCACCAGGGTGTTTCAGGGAGTGCTCGTGGATCTGAGATTCCCAGAGGTTGTCCACAGACTAGGAAAGAGTCACTTGGGAGCTTTTTAAAATACCCTTTCCAGGACCCCATATTCACTGAACCAGAATCTCTGGGGATTGGAGCCTGAGGTTAGAGATTTTTGACAAGTTCCTAAGGCGATTCTGATTTCTAGGTTTGAGAATCAAGGCAGAGTCCATGATTCAGTAGCTAATGAGGTGAGCTACCATGTAGGGCTCACCAGGAGCCAGGCACTGCCAGGAATAAGCACCCCTTTTTTTTTCTCTTTCTTTTCTTTCCTTTCTTTCTTTTCTTTCTTTTTTCTTTCTTTTCTTTCTTTCTTTCTTTTTTTTTTTTACTGAGATACAGCCTTGCTCTGTCACCCAGGCTGGAGTGCAGTGGTGCGAACATAGCTCACTGCAGCCTCAATCTCCCATATTCAAGTGATCCTCCCACCTCAGCCTCTCCCCTCAGCCAACAACTTCTCACTACATTGCCCAGGCTGGTGTGTAACTCCTGGGCTCAAGTGTTCCACATGCCTCGGCCTCCAAAAGTGCTGGGATTACAGGCATGACCCAGCACATCTGGCCTTTGTTTTCCTGTCTTTCCAACAATTTTATGATGCAGACATTGTCATTCCACTCTACAGAGGAGAAACCATGGCTGACAGGATATGTAACTTGCCCCAGGTCACCAAGCTAGTTAGCAGCACACTGGATGGAATTCACCACTAAGCAGCCTGGCTCTTGGGTCCATGCGCTTAACCACTACCCTCAACTGCCTCCTCCAAAGAGGCTATGCTTGACACCGTGACTTCGACTCCATGTTTCTCTGATTCAAGGACTTCTTGCAGTGCTAGGAAGAATGCATGCAAGTAAGACACCTGGGGAGTCTGGGTGGGATGCCTCCCACCCCCTGTCATGATGCCTGGGACTTGGGAGGCCAGAGACTCCAGGAGGCAAGCAGGTGCCTGAGGCTGCTCCCCCAGGGGTCAGCAGAATACCCTGGGAAGGGCAGACAGCTTTCTCAGCTTGGAAAGGCCAGAGCTCAGGAGTAGGCAGGAAGGTACCTATCTCTGAGCTTAGCCCTCCACTTAGACAAAAGGCTTGAGGGTGTAGGACTAAGAGTCTCCTGCCTAGCACTGACCAGCCCCCATGGTGGAGAGAAAGAAAAGGAAGAGGGACCCATCACAGTTACAGGGCCTCCCTGGGAGGTGAGATATGAATTCAAAGAAGAGGGCCCACAACAAGGGTCTAGGTCCCTAACTCAGAGCCAGCAGTCTCTCCAGGCTAGGGAAAATGTATGCCATTCCAAAATGCCCCTCAGGGGCTAGGGATGCCTGGGGACTGAGAATTTCTAGCCCAGACCCCCAGCAAGGGTGGCCCAAACTCCCACTCCATCTCCAAGCCCCTGACAGGCGAACCCAGACTCTCCCAAAGCAGCAGCCACAGCCTGCAGCCCCAAGGCCCACCGCCCATACCAGAAGGTGCCCGTGCAGACGCGCACCCCAGTGCAAAGCCTGTGCAAGGGAGAGGCAGGAGCAGGGGAGGGAGAGCACATGCAGTTGTCATGGGAGCAGAGGCATCACACACTGACCTTGAAACTCCAGTAGTTTGGCTGCTGATGGAAATAAGAGAAGAGATGGTTATGAGGGGGCCCAGGAGGGGAAAAGAGGGGCAGGGGCAGGTTAGAGACCCTTGGAACTCAGCACTCAGCCCTAGGACAAGGGCCCTCCACCCTCCCAGGCGCAGGAAGGAAGTCATGCTTGATACATCCATTCTCTACTGAGACCTGGAACACCATGGTATACCCAGGATGGCCCCAAGCAGGCGCTACAGCGACTCCTCACAGAGTTACCGGTGGGAAAAGGCACACAGGATGGTGATAGAGCAAACCCATGAGGCAGTCACAAGAGAGGCAGTGACAAAGCTGAGCCGTGTGGTCAGAGAAATGGCAGGCCAGGGAACAGTGCTTGGAAGAGGTGGCATTTGAGATGGGTCTGGAAAAACCAGCAGCTGGAGACTGGGAGGAGAGGCCTGCTGGGCAGGGGGGTATGGCGTGGGCAAGTGCCCAGGGGCAAACAAGTGGAGACAGAGTTGAGGGAAGTCGCTAGTCCACGTTGGCTGGGGTGCATCTGGGAAAGTAGCAGATTAGGCTGCAAAGGGTGGGGAGTGGGAGGCTGAGGCCAGATGATGAGTGGCCATAACTGTTGAGAGAAACTATTTAGACTTCTGGGTGGACAAGCAGAAAGTGTCTGAATGGAGCAGAGTGGAATCAGAACTAGACCCTGGGGCAGGAGTGGATTGGGTGGATCAGGGTGAATGGGGCAGGGGTCGGAGGAGGGGGGCTAGGGGCCAAGGCCAAGAGAGAGAGGCCTATACAGCATAATGGATCTAGTTTACAGAGCAGAGCAGCCAGATGCCAGGAACCTCACTCATTGGGCAATCAATGGCTGGGGAGCTGGGGGCAGTGAAGGGAGTTGGGGAGACTGGGGACGGTGGCTGGCTGGGATTGAGGAGTGCTCCTCGAATCCCTCTTAGCATCCCTAGAATGGGAAGCCAGAGAGTCCCCCTCATTTGCAGTAACCGAGGGTTGCCCTACCTTCCCTAGAGACCAGAAGGCCCTTCCAGATGGCTTAGTACAAGGAAGGAGCAGCCCTGGGGCTGGGTTGGTTCTTGGCAAAGCCGAGGCACCCTGCTGACCGGTGCCAGCCTCAGCAGGGAGATGGAGGCAGCAGATGGCCTGGCCCGGGGGTGCCTGGCACGAGCAGACAACATCCCCAGGCCTTAGAGCCACTGGCAGAGGAGAGGGACATCCAGGGCGCCCCTGGGGGAAGAAACACCATGCCAGGGTGTCCTGGGCCACCTGAATGCTTTCCTGGCAGGGAGGAGTTGGAAGGGGCTGAGTCGAGGGACACTCTGGCTGCAGGCTTTACCTAAGGCAGACTTTTGGGGTAGGGGTGACACTGGGCTGGGGCTGGGACCAAGAGGGTTATTTGCCAGGACCCCCTCCTAAGCCATCATCCCCATGCTTCCCCCAACATTCGCTCTGGAAAACAAACAAACAACAACAAACAAACAGTCACATACCAGGCAGGAGAAGGGGACAACAAAGTCTGTAATCTGTGTCCCAGCCAATGCCTGGAATCATCTCTGGACTGAGGCCACCCCCAGTGGTGCTAGGGGATGCCCACAGGTACTGAGGGTAGGGGAGACCAGGGGCCAAGTAACAGGCTCCAGCAGCAGCTGACTGTGGCCTGGGGAAGGGGAGGGGTAGCAAAGGTAGTGGACACGTTGGGGCAGGCAGAGGGCACCGGAAGGTTTTTGAGGACAGTCACATCTGTAGACCCAGCGGTGATGGAGTGCTCTGCAGAGAAGGCCTCGAGTCCCTCACCCACCACTACTATGACACCAGGCACGGGTGGCACACACATGGGCCACCCATAGCTCCCCGCAGCATGCAGGCTCACTCACAGCTGAGCCCAGACCCTGAGACACATCTTCTGATCAGGACATCTCCACAGACACCCAGAGCGACACACACACACACACACCCCTACTGAGAGAGGGGCTCCCCAGTCAGAAACAGCCCTGGAAACAAACAGAAACTCAGAGACAGAGACATTCACACACAGACCGCCCCCACTCATACACAAACGTGTTCCCCTCCCTCCAGGCCCCTGCCTTGCTTACACACTCTCACAAGCACCACAGCCAGTCACAGAGGACAAGAGGTGCTGATAGCATTCACACTCACCCTCAAAACACTGCAGTCACAGAAACAGAGACACGGTGCCCACCCACAGTGAGACACGCACCCCGGCTATCGAAACACACACAAAGCAATGCACACACCACGCGCGCGCGCACACACACACATGGCCTCAGAGCCACCCATGTACAAAGAGAAGGCCCCTGATCTGATCAGGGTGCCACTGTCCCATGCCTATCATGTCCCAGATATCATGAGTCAGGGAGGTGACCTCTGATGCAAAAGAGATAGAAGATGTCCTGTCTCCCACTCTGCCACCAGTGTCAACACATCAGACTCAGGGTACCTTGTTCGGATGACTGGGGCCCACCTCGTTGTCCTGGGAGAGAGATAAGGACAGGGCTTAGCCACAGCCACACTGGCTATGGCCTCCACGTAGGCCTGCCCCAGGGTCCCAAGGCTGTGCACATCCATGGGGCAGTCACCTGGAAGGGACATATCACTAGCAGCAGCCAAGGGAGAGGACTGAGTGGCATCAGTGCCATAGGAAAGACCAGTCAAGCCCCTCAAAGAATAAAGATGGAAGAGGGGCTGTGCTTGTGCCGGTCACTTGGATGCATGAGAGATGTTGAGATCAAAATCTGGAGCTTCAGGCTCTGATCTGTAGAGTATGTGAGTGAATCCTGCCCCTCCATCATCTGTCCTCCCTCTGGAAGGTGGGAAGAATGATCCTCTTTCATGTTGGCCCCACCAGGAACGAACCAGGGGTGGCCCCACCCCACAGTCTCTTGGCAACTCAGTGTCTCTGGTGAGATAAACTGAGGTGGGGGAGGCCTCCGGGGATATCGCCCATCCCCTTCTCTGTCTCTTTCCAGGATTTTAACCCATGGGACAGACTAGGGTGACTGAGAGCAAACGGCTCCTCCCCTGTTCTCTAAGGTGGGACATTCCTAGTCACTCTCCTTCCAACTTCCAGCACCCTTTACCTCCTCACCCCTTTCCAGGGTGTCTGTTCCTCCTGCTGTGCCCAGTACAGTACCTGGTGGATAGCAGGCGCTCAACAAGTATGTGGCGATGAATGAATGTCAATAAAATAGGACCGAGCCATGAGTGGAGGGTGGAATCTCTGAATGCTCAGGACTGGCACCACTCCCTCCATCTCCTGGCACCCAGCACTGCTCAGCCTTCTGGGCCTTTTCCCTGGGAATTTCCCAACACCAGAAACCCCCCAGTTAGGAGGGCAGAGGGCAGGGAGGGTCAGGAGAGGTCTGGCTGTCCACCCCAAGCCAAATCTTCCAGTGCCAAAGCTGCCTCCCTCTGCCATAGTCAGGGAGGGGGTCTCACCTTCCCAAAAGACAGTGAAAGGGGGAAATAAATAAAGGAGTGAGTAGGAGAGACCCCAGCAGGGGCAACCACTTGTGGGGAGGAATCTTAAAAGGAGCTGGGGCAAAATGAGAGGTGTTCTAAGAGGGTAAGATGGAAGCATAGGACCCTAGGGACCAGGCTTTGAGAAACGGGGGAGGGGAGCGTCTCTCAAGGCCCCAGGAAGTCAGGCCAGGGAGTCCTCAAACTCCTGGTGAGAAGAGGAAACAGCTTCTTCCCTCTGGGAGCTAAGGAGTTAACTCCCTTCCTCTCTCCTCCATCCTAGCCACTGGTAGCCCGGTTCCTACTTCCCCTGCTGCCGGTCTTTCCCTCCTCAGCCCTCATGCCCTGGGAGTGGAGGGGCTAGGGCCCCTGGGGAGGCTTGGCCCAGCCAGCTGAGGTCTCTTTCCTCCCCTGGGCAGGCATCCCCAGCAGGCTCAGTGAGCGCATGACCCCTTCTTGACCTCAAGCCCCGACCACGCATCTTCCAAGCAGGGAGAGCAACCCACGGGTCCGCACCGGCTCCTTAATCCCCTGGCTCTGCTGCACCGGTGCACACACCCACCTCTCAACTCCCATGAACACGAGTCCGTGTAAACACTCATCCCCCTTGCTGGGGCTAAGCCACTCGTCCCCCCTCGGGCGCCTGCCCCCACCGCGATGTATATGCACGACCCTCTCCTCCAGATGTGCGGATGACACCCTCATCTCCTTCCCAATGCAGAGTGTGTGTGGGTGGGTGGGGGGGGGTGCTGTGGGACGCTGGGGGCGAGGGCGCATCCCGGGAAGGTCATGACTTTCCGAGGTTGGGGGAGGGGGCGCCAGCCTGATTTTGGAGTGGGGGCCGGCCCACGCCGAAGGCACCTAATGCAGTGGGGGAGGGGAGGAGGCGTTTCTCAGGGATCGGGAACCTGCAATGGCCTGGGCGTCCCCCACCCCTGGATGGCTCTCGGTGCCCCGGAGCGGGCCCCCATCTCCGTGTCCCCGCCCCTCGCCCAACCCGAGGCGGCGATCCCGGCCCCCACAGCCGCTCCCCCTTACCTGCGGCCACAGGTGTACGCGCGGGGTCCCCAGCCCCAGGTCCTGCGTCCGGCGGGGGAGGGAGGGCCCCTACTCCCACCCGCCCGGGCTCTTCTCTCCCCCGGCCGCCTCCGCAGCCGCGGCCGCCGCCGCCGGTGCCCTTTGCTGCAATGCGAGAGCCGCCGCGGCCGCCGCCGTGCCGGCCCGGGCCCCGGTCGCCCCGGTAACCGCGACTCCACCTGGCGCTGCGCTGCGCGCCGCCGTGCACATCCCCTCTCGCGGCCCCCTCCCCCGGCGCGGCCCCGCCGGCGCAGCCCCGCAGAGGAGCGGCGGAGGCTGGTGGCTGCGTCGCCGCGGTCACCCGATACGCCGGCCCGGCGCCCGGGACTCGGGTTGCAGCAGGAGGGAGGGAGGTTAGACAGCCTGGTGGAAGCCGGGGGAGGGGCTGTGGCTTGGAATCCAACCTCTGGTCCCCTCCCAGGATCCTCTTCACTCTCCCCATCCCTAAAGGTCCCGCCTGGTGGAGGGTCAGGGAGGGGACAGTGTTCTGCCTCCTGCTCAACCTTCAGCGCTCACAGCTTCTCCCCAGCGGAGTCTTCGCTGTGCACCTTTGGCCTTTAACTCTCCCATGACTTAATCCCTAGCCAAGTCTGGGAGACCTAGTATGCCTAAGTTTCCTAGATGGCCTCTGATCCTGCCCTGCTGTGTGGTTCTGGCCTTTCCAAAGTCTCTGGTCCTGCACTTGCCAAAAGGGAACCTCAGACTGACTCAGCCTTAGGGGCAGGGAGTGTGATAAGCATCAAGTGATGACAAGATCCTATGCACAGACACTTTCCTGGTTAATTACAGAGCCCCAGGAGAAGGTCTGCTCAAGCGCTCCCCTTTCCCCCATCAGAGCAGATCCCAGATGTGGACAGGCCAAAATCCCCAGCCCCCTAGCCCCCGACTTGGGACAACTGAGCTCACCCAGTCCAGCCTCACTCCTGTCCATCATCCAACCCCTATCACAGCCCCAAGACGCTCCATCTGGGGAGGACCTCTGGGCAGCCAAGGCACCCCAACCCTGCCTGTGCATATCACATCCTCCTCTGTCCTATCACCATCCCTGTCCTAGCCCCACTTTGGTCTCCACCATGCACTTGGCCATTCAGGACAAGTCTGTCCCACTTGCCATCCAGCCTTGGGGGCAGACACATTCCTGTTCCCCAAAGTTCAGCCAAGATGGGGCTTGGGAACTGGGAAAGAAATTGGGCTGAATGCCCTGTGAGTGATGCCAAGCATGCCAATCTGTTACTAGACTTGAGTTACACTCGGCTAAAACATCCTCCCTCTGAAGGCCTGTCATTTCCTTGGTGGTCACAATTTTCTTTCTCTTCATTCTCCTTGAAAAAGCCAAGCGTTTTTGTCCTCTGAGGGAAGCAGGGTGTGTAAGGACCTGAGCACTCTGCTTCTACTGGATTCCCTGCCACTATCCCTCCTCTGCCTCCTACAGCTGAACATCCTCAAGTCAAGTCCTCCCCTGGGCTGTCCCCTCCCCATTGCAACTCTGATGCCTATTTTGGGCCTCAGATGCCTATTTTTCTCCCATAGCAACGTCCAGGCCTAGCCGGGAGTCCAGGCCTAGCCGGGAGCCCAGGCCCCTAGTATCCTGCCTACATGTGCCCCTGTCTAAGCTAAGATCTATCTTCCCATAACGGACATCAAAGCCTGATGAGGAAGAGGGGAATAAGTTCAGAACAGATGACTTGATACCCAAGTCTTCTTAAAAATTAGAGACTAAGCCATGAACTTAGCAAGAAGGGTGAGAGAGAGACTTCATGCAGAACTACCTGATGGTGGGACATCTGGGGAAGGCTGGATCTGCTCAGAAATGAAGGGGAGGGTGTGGAGAGGGGAATAAGATGGTCCTCAGTGGGAGGAGGGCATAAAACCCACAGAGCAAGGTCAGGGGACTTCTGTTTAAAGGAGAAAGGGATACAAAAACTTTTTTAAAAATCCTGAGTATCTTCCCTCAAAAAATTCCTTCTCCAAAGTCAACCAGGCTTGGGGAGGTAGTGACAGGGAATTAGACATCGGGCAGATGTGAGTATGGGGCATAGAAGTCTCCTGAAAGTAGGGGCTCCTACACCAAAGAGAAAAGGTTGCTAAATAAAAATCCTGAACACCCCCCCTCCAAAAAAAGTTCTCCCCAAAGCCAAACTCCACCATGGGCTTGGGGGGTGGGGTGGAGGTGGGTGACTCACCTGGGCCGGCTGGCCAGCCCCGGAGGGTGCGGAGTCGCCATGGAGGTGGGAGCAGAGGGAGCTGAGGAGGCACACGGGGTCCACGGTCCAGCCGCCAACCTGTGTGTGCGAAGCGGGGGACACCCCATTAGGGGAAGCGGGCAGGAGCCGCTGGGGTACTGTGACTGGGAGGGAAGGGCATTCCTGGGGCAAGCCTTGGCACAGAGCTCATACTGCAGAGGGGTCTAGCGACGCTGGCAAGTCCCTTCCTTAGGTTGGGTATCTCTCTAACTAGAGCCCTGCTCTGTTTCTGGATGTCTGCCTTTTCTGTTAGACCCGGGGGTTCCCTGAGCCCAGGGCAGGGCCTTCCCTATCAGACATTCCTGAAATCCTCATCTCCACTTTATTTTTTTTGAGACAGGTTCTCACTCTGTCTCCCAGGTTGGAGTGCAGTGGCACGATCACGGCTTACTGCAGGCTTAACCTCCTGGGCTCAAGTGATCCTCCCACCTCAGCCTCCTGAGTAGCAAGTACTACAGGGACGAACCACCATGTCCAGCTAATTAAAATATATATATATATTTTTAAGAGACAGCCATGTTGCTTAGGCTGGTCTCAAACTCCTGGGCTTAAGCAATCCACCTGCTTCAGCCTCCCAAAGTGCTGGAATTACAGGCATGAGCCACTGTGCCTGGCCTCGTGTCCAATTCTTGGATGCCCCTCTGCACACTGGCAAGGAAGCTGCTCCTTACCATCTCCTCTTCCCCAGCTGTAGTCCCCTCCTGAGGTAGGTGAAGGTGTCACACCTACCTCACAGAAATAGGAACCGCTGGGCAGGAGAAGCCTTCCCCCAGTTGTTTCTATCCCACAGCATATCTTTCTTTTCTGTATCTTAGTGGAAGTGACTCCACCCGCTTCATTCCCCAAGACCACCCCACACCTAAGACCATCCTTCCAGATTCCTCTAGGACCTGTTTCCCATGGCCTTCTTTCCCCTTGGCATCCTCAGATTCATTCCTCCCTCATTCTCTCATTCATTCCACAAACACTGCCTGAGCTGGCACCATGCTTAGGCACCGAGCATTCCATTGCAAGTGAATGGGCCATAGATCCTACCCACTTACACTCTAAGTGGGGAAACGAATGAGTGAAAGAAGAAAGGAATGAATTTGAGGGTGGCTGGGCTTTGATTCATTTCCTAAGTATTTACTGAGTTCCACAGTCTGTGCTGGTGAACATGCTAGAACATAGGAGGCCCTTAGACATACCTTCTCTCCCAGGCCTGCTGCCCCTGGAAGTTCCACCCAGCTGTTTTCATCCTTTTCCTGGCCCAATCTCCCCAAAGTAAGTCTGTAGCTGGGGCTCCTGATCCTTTACCAACCCCAGTCTTCCTAACCCCTGAAATTGACCATTACTTTACCACACCACAAGACACAAGCTCTCAATACCCTCTGCGCCCACAGATCCCTGTCAGTCGCAATGTCTGTTTCTCTCTCCCCATCCTTTTGGACGTCTGAAGGGCTGGTCACCCTCCTGCTGGCCCCTTGTCCAGGCACCTTTTTTCCCCTGGGACTTCCTCGTGGATGTAGAACATTCCTGGTCCCCTTTCCCCAAACATCATGGGCTTTCTCTCTTCTTAGACCCCATTCCTCCCTGATGGCCACTCAGCATCCCAGGTCCACTTCGTATCTGCTGTGACCGTGCTCAACTCTCTCCTCCTGAACCTGCGGCCTCTCTGGAGTCCTGAGTGGTGCATTTGGTGCCTTAAGAGCATCCCCAAGAATGCCCTACCCACTACTCAAACCCGTCTCCATATATTCCTCTCCCCCACCCCCAAACATTTCCCTCCAACACTCCTATTTCTCTCCAAGGCAGCAACATCTCCCTGTCGCCCACGTGTTTCTGTCATTGCCTTCTAGGCCCAGGCAGCTTAGCCTTAGACCTACACTTGGTCTTCTTCCAACCCCTATCTGTCCATCCTTTCCCCTTCATCATCCCTGATACACTCTTCCTCTTCTCCTTCCCCTCCTCCAACCCCGCTTCTCCCCTGCTATTCACCATCCAAAAGCAACCACAGCCATCCTAGCCACCACCATCTGCCCCACTTTTTCAGCCCCCACACATCCCACTACTTCCCACCTGAGCCTTCTTGCCAGCCAGTTGGACCTCTGGGCCAGTTCCCAAATCAACTCAGGCCTATGCCCATGCCACACTCCCCACCACTCCTAAAACAACATTCTTTTCCTCTAGGCCTATGCAAATGCTTTTCATCTTTCTAAGCCCAGTTTAGATACCTCCTCCTGCAGGAAGCTTTCCCTGATCAGGCCTGCCTATGATCTTCCCTCCTCTAAACCGCCTCCCAACTGACTGTTCCCCTCCCCAGCTAGATGACAAATGCCCCTGCCCTTCTCCTCAAGCCCGTGCACACAGCAGGAACCCAACGAGAGGGGCTCCCTGAGGGTGAGGGCCACATCTGCATCTTCAGCTCTCTCTAACCCTGATCTGCATCCTGCTCCCAAAAGGACTTTGGAGCTGGGAAAAGGCAAAAGCCAGACAGAACTGGAAGTGGCACTAGGGGGCAGATAAGGTACCAGAAATGTGCCAATGTGTCTTGTTCCCTGCAGTGAGGATAGGAGTGGAGACACTCCTCCCTATCCTCAATTACATCCAGTAGAACCCGGAAAAGGGAGACAGGGACTGACGCAACCCCAGGTTTGACTGAAAGGCTGCTGATGGGATGTGCATCCCCCCCCCCCCAGTCCCTTTACCCAGGGGGACAATGGCTGAGTCTCAGAAGCCAATATGCATCAACCATGCAGGCGCCTCACCAATGCAGAACTGTACACAGGCTGCTAGACCCAGAAAGCATGTTCTTACAGACAAGAAGCTCATACTTGGGTGGAGAGATGCATTCAGGACCCCGAGGTTCTGGGGGAGGTTTAAAAAGGAACCATCCCACCCGCTATAGAAGGAAACAGGTCCTGGTCCAGAGAGAGGTGCTGTGTCTCCTCTCTAAGCCCTACTGATGGCAGGAGAGATACCCAGGCACAGAGAGAGGAGGCCTCCAGCTCCAAGTCACCCAGCAAGCCATGGGGTGGAACAGGGAGGAAAGAGGTCAAAGGCTCCAGTTCTGGGCTCCATTCCTGCAGGCTGCAGGGACTGGGGACACATCGGACGCAGCTCACGGAGGCTCTCAAGGCCCGATCCTCTCTTAGAGTCCATATCACAGAGCTGCCGACGACCCTGGCCAGCATTTCATCTGCACCACAGGATGGACTCTCTCGGGCACAGAACAAGTCCCCAAGGCTATCCTCCTCTCCTTTCCTCCCAGAAGAGTTCTACCCAAACAGCCTGAGTTAACGAGGCTGGGCTCTCTCTGCCCCATCACATGCTCTCAATTTCCGGACTGCAGGCAGAGGTCTGGAGGCCAAGCCCCCACCCCTTTCCTTCCCAGGCTCCAGAAAAGGCCAACCAGAGCCACTGCCCCGAGGGACAGCTCCCCAACTCCTCCCCTTCTCTCTCTGCTCCAGATGCCTCCCAGAGTTGGAATGAGCCTGGGGGCATGGAGCACGGGGTCAGACCCCCTCCCCTGCCCGCTGGCCGCGGCCGCAGCCGCAGCCGGGAGCCCACTCACCTGCTCTCGCATCCTGTCCTGCTGGCCTCGCAGGGCCAGGGCGTGCTGCGGGTATTTGCTCTTCAGGTGGTCCATGAAAGCATCACGCTTGCGGTCGGCGTCCGCCTTCTGGAGCCCGCTGAGCGCCTCCAGACTCTGGGCCGCGATCACCGTGTGCCGCCGCTCGGACGTGTGCACCAGCCCCACATTGGAGAAGCGCCGGCCCCCGCTGCCCCCGCCGCCCCCGCCCCCCAGGGTCCGGTACTCCCGCGGGTACTCGGCATCGTCCGCAGACAGCATGGGGGGGCTGCTCCGCTCCGGATCTGCGAGAGGTGAGAGGGGCATGGCGGGGTCACAGCGCGCCCGGCCTGGGGCTGCCCATCCCCCACCGGGGGTCCCTGCGGACTAAGGAGAGCGGAGAGGCGTCTGGCGCGAGGCAGAGGCTGCCCGGCACCCCACTAGGGACTGAAGGGGGAGGTGGGTGAATGGCGTGGAAAGTGAGCCCACGGCCCCCAGGGAGGGGTGAGGAACAAGGGCTGGATACTTCCTGTTCCTCCGTGGGTTTGGAGCGATAATGAACGCAGGGAGAGTACCACCCTTTGAGGCCAAGGGGAGGGGGCTTGGATGAAAGGGGTAGAAGGTATCCTGAGACCCTCTCCAACCACACAACCCCCTCCCCTCCTAAAGCTGGTGTCAGCAGGTGAAGGAAGAAGGGGTGCTTTTTAGATGCTCCCTAAAAGACGTGAAAAGGAGCTCGTAGTCTTCCTTCGAGGTTGGGTAGGGGGAGCCCTGCCTCCTCCCTCAGACTAGCATATGTCCAGGACATACTTATTCTCAAGGCTGGGGGCCGGCTGGAAAAAGGACCAGGGCGGGAGGGAACACATGGGGAGAATGAGGGCAAAAATCGCTCTGAGGTTTCCCATGGAGATGGAAGCCCAGGGTCTGGGGCAGTGGGACCCCTTTTCCCTTCCCTCCCCGGAGACAGACAGACAGACAGACAGGAGAGGCTGGGCACAGAGAGGACAGTGAGAGATGGATTTGGAACAAACTTAAAGGAGAAAGGAAGCAGACAGAACAGCTGAAGTCCTTCCCAGGGACTTTCCCCCTACCTCTCCCCTCCCTTCTTCAGTCTCTCCTCTTGACACAGACACAAGCTTAAGACCCATAAGAGACATACAGCGGACAAAGGACAGCACAGAAGCAAAAGAAAGAGAAGGCCGGGGGTTGAGGTCCCACGCGAAACTCTGAATCCCCTTCCCAAATGCCCACCAGCCCTGAGGTCACCCCGCTGGCCCCCACTCTCCAGCCTCAGCAACCAGTGGCCAGGGGTTCCAGAGGTCACCCATGCCCTTGGGGGTGGAAGAAGTTGCTGGGGCCCTACCTCAGCCAT